TAGCGCATTCTATGACTGGCCCACACAACTCTGTTCTTTTTTAATAAAAAATTGGCTATAGCTGGTCCATATAGATGGGAAGTCTACTTCAGTATCCAACAGTCAATGGTTCTAGAACAATGAAACTAGAACTAGTTGTAGGACATGAGTTTGTGTATGTTGCCCATTAATATTTTACTTACGTCCAAAAAAGAGGCAAATTCAGGACACTATACTGACATATAAACCAACATCGCAGTTGAATATTGCAGTTCTAGGAAATTACTTTTGCCAAAAAACGCATTAGGTAGATATACCCACGACATTCACAATTCCGCAGCCGTATTCATCAGTAGTTAAAACCCCTGTATTAAATTCTGTAGCCTATATGTCACATGCATTTTTATTGAGTAAGATCCGTCCTGCAGGAGACAGTGCTGGAGACGTCAGAGATGACGCTACGAAGTGACTTGTTGGACACCCAGGTGTGTGTCTGCTCAGTCGCAGTTCCGCCGTTGTTCTCGGACAACTTTGACTTTCAGTCCAAGGATGACTTTGTCCGTGGTCTGCTTGTCAATGAGGAAATCCTCGCCAGTTCTATCTACGCTTACATTCTGCCGGGCAGTCAGTACGCTGCAACCGTCAACTCCTGGGCTCATTACCAGGACATCACGTTAGTATCAACAATTGATTTCAGTTAAATTTATTATTATTTAATTTTATTTCCACCTTAGCAACCTAGGTGGCTATGTTCTAGTCTGTTTTCACATTACTTCAGTCTAGGCCTAGAGAGTTGTGGCATTATCCCTTGGCAAATCCATTGGTGGTGTGGAAATTTTAACCAGGGGCCTCAGCTGTACCACTCAACCATCTGGCTCCTCAGTTTGGGTTGTTGTTGTTATAATTACTGTAATAAACAGTTATAGGCCTACTTATATAAGAACATTTTTTTTTATTGGAATGAAATTTTTAACTTAATCCATAAAATATTTACAGTCTTAAAATACTTCTAGCTAAATTGTTAGTTTTTTTTTTTTATATATAATGTTCTGAGAGTTAAAATGGTTTATTTGTTTGATTTTTTTTTCAACGGTATATCTTGTTTGCATTAAACTTTGTAACTTAACTTTTGGAAAACATCTTCTAGCCAAACAAGCCGACTGTATGATTACTATGCTAAATGCGACATATGGGATGACTTAGTTCCGCACTAAGCTCATCACCAGAGTTCCCTCTGAAGGCCCATGAGGATGGTCAAAGTTAAAATATCTGCCAACATCATTAAAAGAAATCCCTCTGATAATTTTTATTGTATCCAGGCCGTGGAGAATGAATTTGAACAAAGTTGTCCATAGTAATCTAAAACTATTTATCAATGATTTCTGAGGCTTTTGCTAAAATTTACCATGAAAGGTCTTCTACCAGCTTATATAGCTAATACGGTAAAATGTTGTTAAGAGTGCATATGGTTTAACTTACCACACTAATTCTATTGATATTTTACAGGCATGATGTGATCCATAGATGGGTTTACCCTCTCGTGCCTGATATGTTAACTGACGATCCGTACTTCTTCAGAAGAAATAATATTTACATCCAACGAGATATAACGCTGTCTCAGTAAGTGTTTAAATAATATGTAGTTTAAATAATGGTTAGACAAATTAACCTACTCTCTGGTGAAAAACCCGACAGTTCAAACAATCAAAAAGGTAAAATATGATTTGATCATTTATCAATTATTTGAGGCAGCAACACACTCTTGGGTTCATACTTTAATCTGAATATAAATGCAATGTGAGTGTAAAGTTGTGAGATGATTCGTGGAGCTTTGTTACTGACTAAAACCAGCTGTTTCATCAGTCAAGATCATTATTAAAAATGATTAAAAACAACTGGGCCCAGTTTCGAAGCACATTAGAAAAAAAGGTATGAAAGCTGATGTAATTACATACAAATTACTGTAAATGAAACTTTTTAAAATCTTTTCTAGAGGTTGTAAGTTAGAGGAAGATGTTGTGATCGGAAGCGAATCATCAGTTGGACAAAATGCCATCATCGCTCGATCAGTAATTGGGAAAAACTGCAAAATTGGGAACAACGTTGTAATCGAGAGCTCTTACATCATGGATCATGTTAAGATTCAAGTAAGTTCAAATGGAAGTTTACATCAAGTACAGCACAAGTAAAATATATAACAATAATGTACTATACTTGAACTAATGGTGGACCTTAAAACTAAAAAGTTAATCGGTCCTGAGTCCGAATAGCTCATTCTCTACACGGGAAATTTGCCATATATTCCCTACATGTGAAATTCACCTGAGATGATTGTATCAAAGCAAAGCATTGTTACAGCGATACTAATGTTACAGCCAATCTAGTCATCATTAATTTTGAGCGTTTGTAAGTGGTTCGTGAGCTAAGAGTTATTATAAACTCAAATCCTTAGTTAGTACTTGGTTACGCTTTTTTAAGCTCAACGACACATCAGATTTTGTGTCATCTGAGGAAGGTTGAAAATGTTGATAACTTCTTCCTTAGTTAAAAATGATTTTAGTGACAGTTGAAATATTGTAATGTTTTTCATATAGTGTGTCGGTTTGGACTTTTTCCCCATTCAAATAAGCTATACTTTAGAACCATGGGAAGGTCACAGACAGATCGATGCAGGTTTTGTGAAAACATTGTCGAAATCTAAACACTTATGGCTGGACTGTCCGGCTTTGGCCCAAAAAATGTTGAAATCTATGGGACTGAAGCAACTGGAACCTGAAGAGATGACAAATGTCAGTCTGACCAGAGGGGTACTACAAAAGTCAAAAGGCCGAAGTAGCTAGGGATACAATTACCCAAACTCCCCCCACACAATAAAACCTGGTTTCCTCACAAAAAATCCTATAGGCCTAGGCCTATTCAAACTTATTTTGAATTTGTTAATGTGACTTAGGTTCTTCAGGTGCTGAACCTTAATAGACTAAGCCAATTAAGATTAATAATGTTGATTTGAGAAAATATTTAATTGACGTTTAATCTGTTTGCAGGACAATGTTAGTGTGAGTTACTCGGTTGTTGGTCCGCGATGTGAGCTCCAATCAGGAGCCAGTGTTACCAACGGAAGTGTTCTTGGGTCGGAGGTCATCATCGACAGCAACAAACAGATTTGTGCTCTCAAGCTGCAGTCCTACCCTTCAGATTGTAAGCTAAGTGATGCACCTAGTTGAAGGTTGGATAAAAATAAAGTCTGAAGCTGAAGTAAAAGATATAACAATGGGATTTTATTTTAATTTGTTAACACTTAACTATTTTATGCTGTTTTCATTTTGTTATTTTTTCCCTAAAATTCGTTTAAAGTTTTGTAAATATTAACTGTTATTAAATCTCTATAACCTACTTTCAAAATTAGTTAGCTACTTCTACATGACAGTAGATTTTTTAAAGCTCATTAAAGATCTAAACAACCTTTTGTTTACATAACTCTTTTTAATGTGTCATAAAAGTTTTAATAATACTATAGAACTCTAATCATTCAACTCCAACAATCCGAATCACCAATTATCAATTCATTATTAGATAAAGAAGACAAAAGTTGTGATTACGTCACAATTTTAATCTCACTTGCGGTCTAGTCGACATCATCATTGTCTCCCGCTGTCACAAAAAGATCATCATTGTTTTTTTAAGTAAAAAAAATACAAAGGGTATTGAACTATCAGTAATCCCGGGTATGATTGCAGCATGCGGCCAGGTGGGATCCAAGGCCTTCTTGTGTGACGACTCAGCAGACGACGACTCAGATTCCGACTCTGACACTCGGGAGGCAGTGGCTGGTCTGAGAGTGGGGAGAGGAGAGACACACTACGAGAGTGACTACACTGAGTCATCTGACAGTGATGATGAGATGACTCACAGCTTGTCGGTACCTGAGGATACTAACTGTGAGTATGACCATAGACTAGTAGAATAAATATAGACTGTCAAAGGAAGGTTCCGCAATATGCCGCTAGAGCGTGCTCGATGTTAGATTCGCTGCCGTCATCGGCTCTTTGCCATTTGCTACTAGCAGACGCTGCAGCGGTGTCGCCGTAACTACTCAGCACTCCTAGCGGTGGACGCCAGAACATATTCTAACCGCAGCACTGCTGTCGGTGTATATTTAATTCATTTTGTCTATGGTATGACACAACAGTACATGGTGTTGAATGCTTGAGAGACACTACCAGAGAGACTACACGAGTCATCCGACAGTGATGATGAGATGACACACAGCTTGTCTGTACCTGAGGATACTAACTGTGAAAATCGTTTAAAGGTGGTAAAATAATAAGAAACTTATCTTAAACAATAAAACGCTTTAAAAATGAACTAACCAGAGCCAACCATAAAATTTTCTGCATTGTCCTAAATTGTCAGTTGCTAATTGTCTTCTTTAAATTGTCTGATCCGTGAGGATAATACATTTATTAAAAAGTAAAAGATGTAACATAGAGCTCAAGGGCCAGGGTTTTAGGATATTTTGAGAGGATAGCAGGCTTACCTAAATGGGAAAGAGTTGAAACTGGCTCAAGAAACACAAAACTTCACTTTATAGCCTACACAAAAGTTAGAATATTTCACTGGTACTGACAGCATTTTCAACTCAGGAAGAGAGAGTTTTCATTAGGTCCCAATATGGTTGGCCAGTGAGTTGCTGAGACAGTGTTGCCAATATGTTTAGTATAAATAGAAAAAATTGAAAAAACACAATTTCAGTTGATATTTTGGTTAATCTTTTAATAATTATTAAGAAGTAAGTTTAATCTATGGTTATAAGTGCCATAGCAAACCTGACATGTTTTTTTTTTTAGGTTAATGTAGAAGAATCTGTTCCTGCATTTGTTGTCAGCTGGTTAAGTTTATTATGGTAAAATAAAAATATTAACTTACAGTTCCAAAATTGATAGAAAAAATTGCTTGTGTTTTGATTGTAACTTTTAATTTGTCTTCTTTTGTCTAGAATATTACAGTTTGTTTGGTTACTAAATTGGTATTACCTTTGGTGCTCAGATAAAAAAAATTAAGTAAGATTTCTAAAGAGACAATTAGGTGCTTCTTTATTGCAGTATAAGGTACAATAAAATATGCATTATCAAAGTGACAGTTTTACCAATAGATGGTACAATTCTGACGAATTCAGCTCTAACCAAAGACGAAACATCAATTGTGCTTTACCACGAACCGTTGGTGATGATAGAATCAAATTTAAAGGCGCAATATTGGATGGTTTTGAATCATTTGTTGAAAAGTTAGGTTATTATGGAGAGCAGACGAAAGAAACAATTATTGATGGGTTTGAAGTGTTAATCCATGATATACAAAATAGAGGTGCTAAGCCTGCAAATGAATTTTACAGTTATAATGTCAAAGATAATATAGTCGATAATTTTGAAAATGTTGTCGATAATTTAAAAAAATTGAGTTCATTTGCCAGACGGAAAATTAAAATTAGAGAATTTAGGGAAAATGCCATAGACAACTTTGAAGAATTTGTAGAAAAATCTAAAAGGTTTGGTTTAGTAACATCAAATAAGTTTAGAAAGGTAAAATCAAGACGAGAAAATTTGAGGGATGGGGCTGTTGATAGTTTTGAGCGGTTTGTAGAAAAAAGTAAACAAATGGGCCTGCAGACTACATATCAAATTGAAAAACTGGATTCTTTGAAGGAAAAGATGATTGACGGTTTTGAAAATATGATACACAAGTTAAACTCAAAAACACAAGACGTAGAAGACTTTATGTGCTACACAGATAATATCAAAGAGGGTTTTGTTGGTAGGTTTGAAGATTTGATGCAGAGTATGAGGGAAACCATTGTGAATTTGGAAGATAATGTCAAAACAATTACAGAAGAAAATAAAGCAAACATCATTGATGATTTTAGAGAACTGGTCGATAAGATGAGATATTTTGGGGAAACCATTGTGCAAAGAGCAAATGATCAAGTAACGAAAGCAGGTTGCGTAAAAGAGGAAATCATCGATAGTTTTGAAGATTTGATTGCCAGAATGAATAATTTTGGTTGTCAAACAACAGGAAATGTTAGAAACAAATTGGATTGTATCAAAGAAGAAGTGGTCGGTGACTTTGAAGATCTTGTCCAAAATTTCAACGCAAACTTGAATTGTGTTGAAAATAATTTGATGGGCTACTCCAATGAAAATAAAGCCTTTTTCGTTCAACAGTTTGAGAACATTTTTGATGATCTCAAAGACGAAATAAACCAGATTGAATGTAACGTAGGAGAAATGTTGGATGGATTTTTCCTGGACTTCCAAGAATTTTTTGACGATACTAAATGGATGATAGAGTACAGGGCTGATCAGGTGTTTGCAAACGCTGATTGTGTTTTGCAAGGGTTCGTCGGGCAGATGGACAATGCTTTTGCTCGAGGAAAGTGTGAAATTGAGACGGAACTATATTCAGCCAAATATTGGCTACTCATGAGCGAAATGTTGGTCAAGGACTTTCTCTGCTATAGTGAAAGAATGGTCGAAGAATTCTGCATGTTTTCGGAAAAACGTGTTGCATGCTTTTTTTGCAATGGGAAACAGAAGGTGAAAGGTACCTATTTGCTGTTTGTTTTTTTCTTGGTTTTTTACTCCCGTCTTGACCGGTATTGTTTTTTACATCACTTTAGGCAAAGAATGTACCAGTTACAGCATTACCACTTAGATAAAATCCATTGGTGATTGGATTTGAACCTAGCGTCTCGGGGACCAAATTTAACGCTCTACCATTATAACTGCATGCTCCTTAGCTTTTGATTTTAGATACTTTCAAAGTTTGAGCTCCTTTATAATCATTGGCTAGCATAAATACATTTTCTTAAACTTTTATTCAAACAGTTTGTAGGTATATATTTTTGTGATCTATTGCAAATATACCTATTGTGATCTAGACGGTTCTAACTTTGTGTAATGTTTGCAGTGTTCTACACAGAGGTGGTGGACTCGCTAGTCCGAGGATTCGAGGACAAATTGTTATGTGATAATCTTGTGCTGGAGATAAACTCTTCTAGATATGCCTACAATGTCACCATGAGTGAGGTAAAAGTAGTTAACTATATATTTATTTGGAATAATTGTAACATATTTGTTGATTTTTTTACGAACATAATGTCAGTGGTCATCCAAATTGAGACAACATCTTTTTAGATTGAACTAGAGAAGAGAGAAATCTTTGCTGAAGTGTGTTTTAGTTCTTTGATTAATATTGTGATTATTTCAAACCATGTTTTGATGCACAAATAAAATTAATCATTAAACGGAAACACTTAGTTAGTCAAGGATTGAGATTTCTAAAAATAAAGTTCCACAAATAGTTAGCAAAATTTATATGTATAATTTGACCTTTTTGTTAATATACTACCACTAAATAAATTGTATGTAACAATAAACTCTTGAAGTTTTAGGTTATGTCTTGGTTCTAACCTAACCTACAAATAATTTATAAATAAAAATCTTTTTAAAATACCACAATTTAAATGCACTAAAAAGTAGATAATCTGTACTATTATAAAAAAGAGGTGGTTGCTGTATGTGTGTATGTGTGTATGGGAAAAGTAAACTCGAAAAATACTGGTCGGATTGGGCTGAAATTTGGCATGATGATAGCTCACATTCCCGATTAACATATAGGCATATTCTTATTTCAAAAATCCTTTCGGGCTCCGCCCCAGTGGCTCTGGAGTTTCCCATGTTAACCTTATGAGAAATGGAATTATTGAATCTTAACAGCTGTTTCAATTAAACAAGTTGGTTCTGTTCTATGATGTTCAATAGCATTAAAGTTACAAGGATTACCAACAGGGTGCAGCACTATTATTTCTTTTACATTTATGACAACAGCTAATTTGCAACCAAAAGGTGAGTGAGCGTAGCGAACAAACTTCAACCTGGAGGCGAGTTAGCGTAGCGAACGAGCTAACCTGAAGGCAAGTGAGCGCAGCGAACGAGCTCCAACCTAAAGGTGAGTGAGCGTAGCGAACGAGCTCCAACCTAAAGGTGAGTGAGCGTAGCGAACGAGCTCCAACCTAAAGGTGAGTGAGCGTAGCGAACAAACTTCAACCAGGACGTGATTGAGCCATGCGAACGAGATAATCTTGAAAATTAAGAAGTTAAACGGGGCAAAGCCCGCGGGTTACAGCTAGTAATTCATAAATATGTGAAGAGAACAAATACTTGTATCTTGTAAGATTTTAAACGAAAAACGTGGGGCGTATGCAATAGCTAATTTACAATTATATTAAACCGGTTGAACTATTATTAACCATGGAATGCGCCCCACGTTTTTTTGTTTTAAATCTTACAAGAATTCATTCTCTCCACATATTTATGAATTATTTTCTACTTTTAGTGTGTATAAAATTGTAGTCAAAGTTTTTATTTATAAATTATTTTCTACTTTTTAGTCCTTAATGTGTATTATGTTGTATCTATTTTATATGGTCTTTTAATACATAACCAAAACCTTTTTAACTGTAATCACTTTAGAATCTCTCGGGAGCTGAACCTGTACCTCTTAACCTCTGCTTTTTGAACAAACTATCAAATTAGTATTCACAGCTGACTTCAATTTACATTCTTTCAAAATGTAAACTTTGAAACCTTGGCAGCCCATGGGGCGTAGCCCAAGGGAAATATGAAAATAAAATGATTTAATATTGCATTGTCTTCCACTTGTGAGCTATGTTTCAAGTTTCAAGTCTCTAGCTCATTGGGAAGTTAGTTAATAATTAATTGATTGCAAAATTTGTACCGAACAGACAAGAAAGCGAGCTAATAAAAATATTTTAATAACCTATTTCTGAACAGGATTTTAAAATAATTATTCCATTTAATCTCGATAAATGCAGTGGTAGTAAATTAACAGAAAATGTCTCAATTTCAATATTTTTCGTGCTGCATAAACAGCCGTTTTCAATGCATACCCTGTGTGTATAAAGTAGTATTTTTACTCTCTATGGAGTAAAAATCAGCTGTTGTAAACAGATTTAAATTTCGATTGTGGCAGTCTTATCGATCAAATTTATTTATCAATTGATTTATTAGGTAAGGTTTTAGCCTATTGTTGTTGACTGCTCGACATATCGATGGTATAACACAACCGTAATAGGTAAAATAATTGAATCACTTACACTTAATTTGCATTAGTAGAATTGAAAACAAGCTGGAAGTTGTTTTGAGAGGGTATCTTTACATAACAATTATTTTCTTTTCTAGCTTTGTTTTTGTTAATTAATTATGCAATATGACGAAAAATGTAGTACACCACACGGGCAAAAAGTGACTTTTTAACCCTCACTCATTTTCCGACCTCGGCGTACAACTGGACCTGGGGTCAAAAAGAGTCACTTTAGGCCCTAGTGATGAAATTTACTATTCTCTGAGGCTGCCAACGGTTTCAGGTGAACTTCCACGTAGTCCGAGCGTTGCTGACGCTTCCTGCACCTGACGGACATTCGTGGCAACACCTTGTCACTCGACTCACCTATTTCATGCCCATCTTGACCAACTACATCCGATCACAAACTGCACAGAAAGACTGCCTGCTTGCTATTGAGGTTAGTTTTGAGCAGTGCTTGATTTGTGGCGGAACGGAATTCAAATACGTTTCTTTCAATTTCTCCTCAATAAAAAAAAATAAAAATATTGGCATAAAAAGGTAGGTCTACATAAATTAGGTACTGAACACATTAAATAAGTTACAGTTCCTGCACCTCATTAAAAAAAAAATAGAACACTGGTTTTGAGTACCTATCCGTGAATATTTCAGTAAGAAACTTTTAAGGTTTGAAAAGATATTGTTAAAACTAAGGCCTTACTTATGGGCTGTCAATTGAAAAAAGACGAATCCAGAGATGAGTTACCAACCGGGTCAGCTTGAGAGAATCAATGGAGCTCTTCGTTATTTAATTATTTTATGCTAATTAACTTAGATAAGCACTAACGACTCCAACACGCAAGGGTGTTGAATGTTAAAGAGTAAAATGGAAAGCTTCATTGTTTTAAGCCTACTGTGTGAATACCTCAATCTTACCCTCTGGTAAAATTTGTAGTAGTGATGGGCGGATCCAAAAAAATGTTGGTACCGGATCCGGATCCAGATACACACGTCATAAGGGTGAGTTGAAAAAAAACGTAATGTTAATAGAAGGTCAATTTAAATCATACTGTTTAAAAATAAATTGGTAATGTTTAAAGGTTATCTTAAATATATAGAATAATTTCCAGTTGAGCCCAAAATACTTCATTTTTGGGGACACTAAAAATTTTCAAAATCATAAAATGAGACGTAAAATGAAACTACCAAAAGGGTATCTGTGTATATTTTACTGTAGGCTATTTTACTATCTTGAGTATGTTATATCGTGGTTTTTGCATGCAGCATCCAATTTATTTATGCATGGATCACCTCTTGCTAATCTCTTCCTTAAATCCGTTCCAGGTCCACAGTAATGATAGCCGGGTATGTGAAGTTCTACAGGTAAAATACCCTGTGTCCGTGTACAAGAAGACTATCTGTGTCCTAATTGTGTTCTAACTTAGAAAAATATTAGATAGGGGAGTCTTGACTTTTTATTCACCCTGTATGGACACAGATCATCTTCTTGTACACAGACACAGGGTATTATACCTGTAGAACTTCACATACCCGGCTATCAGAACTGTGGACCTGGAACGAATTTAACGAAGAGATTAGCAAGGGGTGATCCAGGCATAAATAAATTTGATGCTGCATGTAAAAACCACGATATAGCATACAGTACTCAAGATCGAAGGATAGTTAAACTAGATCAGTGGCTGACAGCTTATTAGCTTGGGAAAGGTTAAAAGCCTCAGACTCTAGTATTGGTGAGAAAGCTGCCGCCTGGGAAGTTACTAACATAATGAAAACTAAAGCAAAATTTGGTCGGGGAAAAGGGCAGAATTCAAAAATTGAAAACAAATAAGAAAGAAAAAACCTGTTGGGAAAAAGAAAAAAAATCCTAAACTTGCCTGCAAGAGGAAAAATAAAATTGGTAAGCGGCTCTATTTGAGACCTTATATCTGGTAGTAAAGGTAAAAAAATGTAATCATAGGAAATAATTAAGACTTCCAGAAAAACCATTAAGTAGTTTGGATATAATAAACCTTGCTTTATAATATAAAGTAACGTTGGATATCAAGTAACTTGCTTTATATAATATAAAGTTGCCTTATTTTAGAGGAGTCTTCTTGTACACAGACACAGATAGTCTTCTTGTACACAGACACAGATATTTGTAAATTATTAATTTAAGATAGATTTAGTTGACGCCATTCAATGTACAAAACTGTACTTTATGAATAATGCATATTTGATTTGATTTGTGTTAGTATAAAAAATCGGAAAAAATTGGATCCATCAAAACCGGATCCAGCCCAAGATCCGGATTTTTTTTATCCGATCAGGCTTGGATCCAGTAGTCCGATATCCGGATCCGACCATCACTAATTGCTAGCATTTGAACCTCCCATATAAAAATTCTGTAACCTATCCTGTTAATAGTTTTAGGTCCAAGCATTCATTTACAGTATCACATATAACTTGAGCATGTCCTCATCGTAATGTTTCTTTCAGTAATGTGGCTTTACTGCAATGTTTAGGATGTTGCTGGTAGTAATCCGGAAATATTTGCGGTCCTTGTGAAGATAATCCACTGGCTGTATGAGCAGGATATTCTATCCGAGGATAATATTTTGAACTGGTACAAGAATCCGAGTGTTGATGCAGACCCCGAGAACAGTAAGAGAGTGCGACAACAGGTAAATAAATCAAGACATTGAGAGAAGTAGGTAAAAACTATATCTCATGTGAGAAAAGAGTTACAGGCACCTCAAAATTTCACAATTCCCTGAAACAGAATTAGTAGAACAGAGGCAAAAATATGATGTGTTTGAGGTGAATTACTTATTATTTCTGTATTGTGAAATTTGTCTACTATCAACTGCATGGAACTCTTTTTAGATGCATCATTTGCATATCCCCGTCCCTTCTGTCCTGTTGTATTCCTTTCTAAATGTTTTTTCCTTTGAGCCTCTAAAAAACTAAAATTGTACTAAATTACCATACTTGCCTTATTTCTTAGATAAAGTTTTATAACGTTAAAATCAGATGATATCTTTTAGTAATTAACAAAACATCAAAAACACAGTATATGGCTTTGTTTTGTTAGTTGTTATACTGTAATATTTAAGTAAAAAAGTATACTATAGTAAAGTCGAAAAAGGCAAACTTGTTTAGTCTACTACCAATTATTAATATTATATGTTGCATTCTTGACTAGGTAGAAAGTCCTTCGTCATTAGAAGTGTTTGAAAATAAAAAAACTAACTTTTTGCCTCCAATATTGATTTATTGTGACATTTTTAATTCAAGCTCCTGCACCTTTAGATCAATCCAAACACTTACAATAATTGCAATTTTCTGCCTTGGACAGTTTTTCTTTTCTCCACATGATCGTATTTATTTATCTAATTTACTGTCCTTATTCCATTTCCAGGTGGCTCCTTTTATCCGGTGGTTGGAAGAAGCAGAAGAAGACGAAGATGACGATGACGATATTGATTAAAGTATATATATTGATCTTGTATATTACATTATTTCTTAGAGTATTTAGAATAACTCTGTTCATATAAATATGTCAGTGTCAGAAGTTACGGTACTTATGTATTATACGGAGGCCACTTATTTTACAGCGCGCTGCGGCGGTTGGGTTAAGTTGGGTTATCATAAATATGTTTGTAGAACTTTCCTAGTTTCGTTATGAATCGAACTATACGAGATGAGTCATAAAAACTTATGATAACCCAACCTAACCTAACCGCCGCAGCGCGCTGTAAAATAAGTGGCCTCCCTATAATACGTAAGTACCGAAGTTACATATTAAGAAGTATCCTGTATACAAAATAATCTTGGTTATTTATAAGGAAATGCTCCTCTTGTATTATTGTTTTCTATTGTATCACTGCAGTAAAATTCAAATTTCTTACTATGACACTGTGATATTAAGTACTTGATTTAATAGAGCTGCTTGTTTTTTACTTTGTATGTTTTAAAGAGAACTTATTATACACATTTATTGTATTTAAGTGATGGTACAATATATAAATTCTATGAATCTAAAAATGTCAAATAAAGTTATTTTCAGAAAAAAGTGTATACATCATTTCACCTAGCATGAAACCAATTTAGATATGTTGTAAAATCTCCCTTCCACCAGGCAGAAAATGGTAAGTACTTCAGTAGGCTAACCAATCAAATTCATCATACTTCTTCTAGGCTTCACAAAAAATTGGACATTGGTCATCTAACAATGCTAAACAAGTCAGCAATGGTGACTTTAACTCTATTCCAACCTCTTAATACAAAAATCAACCATTTGCTTTTTTGAGCCTATCATGCTGGAAGAAATCTTATTGGTTAAGTCAACAATGATGGATGCTATTCCATTCTAGCCTCCTGATACCAAAATCTGCCATTTGCTCTTTTAAGCCAATCAAGGTGGCAGAAAATAATAGAAATCTTATTGGTTGAGTCAACAATTAATGGCTGCTACTCTATTATAGCATTCTGATACAAAAATCGGGCACTTATTTTTTTTATGTAGTAACCTGAGTCAACAATAATGGCTCCTACTCTATCCTGGCCTCCGGATACGAAATTGACCACTTTTGACCAAAAAGTATCAGGCTGGCAGAACTTGGTAGGAACACTACTAGTGAGTCAACAATAATGGCTCCTACTCTATTCTGGCCTCCGGATACGAAATTGGCCACTTTTCACCAAAAATATGGCAATTTGTGTTTTGGGACTACCAGGGTGGCAGAACTTGGTAGGAACCTTGCTGGTTGAGTCAGCAATAATGGCTCCTACTCTATTCTGGCCTCCGGATACGAAATTGGCCACTTTTCACCAAATTATGTTTTGAAGCTACCAGGGTGGCAGAACTTGGTAGGAACATTACTAGTCAAGTCAACAATTAATTTCTATTCACCGAAATCCGCCATTTGCTTTTTTGAACCAATCAGGAGGGTGGATATATTAAAATTATTCTTACTGGTTGATACAACACCAAAATCCGCCATTTGCTTTTTGGGCCAATCAAGAAGGTGGATATATTAGAATTCTTACTGGTTGAGACAGCATTGGGCTGCAAGTGGATTTCCACCCTCCTGATAACGAAATTCACCATTTGCTTTTTTGAGCCAATCAATGTGTCTGGAAATATAAAATCTTACTGGTTGAGTCAACAATGGCTAACTTAAATTTTTGTGAGCAAAGTCACGATGGGGTAAGCTAGTATTACTATACTGAATGCATTGGGGGTATAAGGAAGTTAAATAAATGTGATATTATAACTATTTAATAATTTATTTCCTTTAATAAAATAATATAATGAGCTTTACCTTACATTACATCATGATTATATATATACATTAATGGGTGATCGTACAACTATCAACATCCTCAAATATTAACATTACATGCTTAGAAACACTGACTGTAATAGATAACATTTCATTATTTGGCAACTTTATAATAGATACAAAAATAGAAAACTTCTAAACAAAGTTTATGATTCTAAAGGGTGTTCTTGATTGATAGCTATGGTCCAACAAATGGCTTTTACTGTGTTATAATCTTAAAAAACTTAAATGTCAAAACAGAATGGAACTCGCCAAATAAATTTATTGAATAAGTTATCTGCTTTAAGTTTCCCAAGAAATCATATTCGATCGCAAGGTTTTGTAGGTTCATACTCATTCAGAAATCAGTTTTACACATTATAAGACGGCAGATGCCGATTAAAAGCATTTACGAATGGCCTAAAATATCACAGAGCTTTATTAACACTAAATTGTTTTTACATTATACAATTGTGTGGTATAAAAATGTGTAATATAAAAGCACTCAAGTTCTGCTTTAGATCGTGAAAGAAAATTTACCCAAAGCAGAAACTCATAATTTAAAAACGGAGATTAATTAAACAATTTTCTAAAATCTAAAACCTTTAGGTTTTATTCCTAACAAGTTGGTTCTAAAAGTCTTTAATGATGTTATCGTAGTGATATAATTATTTATAAAATATCCTTTACAGTAGATAAAAAATGAGATACATATAAACAAGTAGGATTACATTAAATACAGTAAGTACAAGAATTTAATGCCCATTTACTACAGGCGACTTTGGTTCCGGTTCTTTGAGTGCGGTTTGCGACTCCCACTTGCTCTTATGTTGGCTGGAGCCGAACCCTTCGTCGTAGTTACCCTTGGATATGAACAGCTGTTTGAAGTGTGTCAGGCAATACAGGGTGTCGTTGTTCAGCGTGTAAGTCTCCATTCTAGTAAACAGATTGAAAATTAGTAGGCAAAAGTGTAAAGGCAACTAAACTAACATTAACACCGATTCTTCCGTTTTTTTACACTAGCAAAACACACCTTCATTTCTCTTGAGCAAGTGCATTGGACAAATTGCAAACCAAGTATTTGAATAGATTGTAATAATTACAATACCTGAATAAATCTGACAGAAAACTGCAAGTTTAACCGAGAACATGCAATGGAAGATTCCTCCCAAAACCACTATACACTTAAAACCACTCATAAATCCAACGTTCATTGTGGTGCTGGGTTATTGAAAATGCCGGATTACTGAATTTCTTCTAAAAACAGCTGTTATTGTCTGAACCCGCTAAATTTAGAGTGTCAAAAGGAAATCCATTGCCTTATTCTGTGTTTAATTGTGATTTCACTTAATTTTAGTAGTGATGACATTTTAAAATGATAAAACAAAACGCTCCCAAATTATATTGAGTTAACCATCGTTTGCAGATCGCCGACTCTTCCAAATATGGTTTAAAAGAGCATTCAAGTAAAAGTGTGTAGACTTTTATACACTGATGCAGGATTATTGAAAGTGCTAAACCATTAGATGACTTTTAGTTTTAATGTAATCAGTAGAGATGAATTATAAAGAACCTATGAAGGACCATCATCTCAAGTAGTTAGGATTAAAGTTAACATTACTTGAATCTACCTAGGAGAATGTCGTGCCTGACACAATCAAAGGCATTAGACAAATATGTGACATTCTCTTGAAGAAATTGAGATTGTATTATTATATTGGATATCTGGTTATCTTTTCTTGGTTTTCTAGTTACATCACGAACAAATATCAGCAGGTTGTCATCAAAGATAAATCCCGTGTCAAACATTTTTCTGAATTGAGCTCAGTAGCCCATGGTGTTCCGAAGGGATCTAAATTAGGGCCTCCTATATTTATCCTCTACATCAATGACTTGTCTTTTTCACTTTCGTCCAAAATTGTTCAATTCCCTGATGATACAACAATGCTAGTAAGAGCACATTCCATTTTTCTGGAACTAACATTACAACCAGAGATTTAGATTCCATGATAGCTTGGTTTGCACAAAACGGACTACATCTGTGATTTGTCACAAAAAACACCAAAAGCTCTCTGCGACCTGTCCAAGGCCAAACTGCCTCAGAAACTGCATCACTTTACATACATTGGTGTTTTTGCTGAATTTGAACCCGGGACTGAAGTCCTGCGCTCTAATCCCTAGACTAGCTCGCTCCCCCTCTACTGTAGTAAACTACTCCAATTATAGATATCCCAAGAACAAAACAACCTGCGCAGAAACGAAAAGATCACGTGGTTCGCGCAGGTAGGTGTGGCGTACCATTCAAACCTGTGCGGCTTGAAACGGCCCAGGGTTCTTTTGTTTCTGGTATTACTATAAGTGTTAAAGTGCACCTTAATTTGCAATGGCATTGCTGACATCGGAAGCAATTGGCATGGTAGACTCTTCCATTGACACTGATCTCCTCCAACGGATAGACGGTCTTGACGCAGGAAACGCAGGATTTGTTGATAGCAGGAGTCTCCTGTACCTGTTTTGAAATCAAATATTTTTTGAATAAGACCCAACAGAGTGAAGGAAATACAGGGTGATTGGTACTCAGTGTGACATTTTTTTCAGTTTTAACAAAAATACAACTTTTGCTTAATACATGCCGACTTTCTATGTTTTAAATGATAAAGTAAAGACACCATGTTTTGTAGTCTTCAAACCACTAAAGCGTACATAAGCAGACATAAAGCTCAATGATGTATTGTAGCATATGGTTGGAAAGCTTATAAAATGGTGCAGTTTTTACCGTATTCGGACACTTTCTTGTATACAGGGTGTGAACAAATGCAATAGACCAATGTTTTTTACATTTTTATCAAACATCTTAATTTTTATCTTTGAATCTATTTACAATGGAGTTTTCGCAACTGATCCCCCGACATTTTCTATTATTCTTATTCAAAATTTAATGTAGAACACGAAAATTACGTTATCTACTCAAATCCATGTAAAGGTAATAGAGAAATAGCTGTATTAAGTTTAAAAACATAGTTACTTTGAAAAACATAAAATAATTCATTGGGAAGCAAATTTTTAGACTTGGAACCTTTTATATGCATCATCACACTGCATTTACCTTGTACTTACACAAAAAAAGTGTTTTACACTGAGTACCAAAAACCCTGTATATACTTAAATAGGCCTATTAGATATGAGTTAAGAAAAATAATGAGGGTAATGACGGTTGATGCAAAGATTGATCAAATTACACCAATATTATACTCTTCTTAAGTTCTAGTTTTAGTACACCTGAGCCAGATTATTCCTTCAGTTTTACATTTAGATTTTACAACTAAAATATTGTCATTGGTTTTCACATGCAGCGTCATCTGAGGATTTTCATTCACCTGCAAGGGTGGGATTTGAACCCGGGACCGAAGTCCCACACTCTAACCACTAGACCAGCTCGCTCCCCAAGTTTTTGTGAATAGAGTAACATCTCTTTAACACGTTCGCTGCAGGCCATCAAATGGCAAGCGTAGCCCCAGTGCGGCGCAGCCCGCATCGTTGAACAAACCCGATTGCCGGGTGATTGGCTCTTATATTTCGGTAGGACGAATAGCAAATAACGTGCGGTAATATCCTGCTTTATAACAAGAGTCAACGTAGTTCGTTAAACACTCACAGATAGCAGCACTGCTTGGAACGTAGCCGGTCCCATTGTATTGCCAATTGGAGGGAGAATGACAGGACAAGAAGTTGATTTTTAAGTTTGCCGGACGAGATGGGGAAATTTTACTACCAACCTACAACACAATAACAAGCAAGTCACCTACTACACGCTAACGTGGTATAGGTCCGTCTTCGACCGACGCTAGAGCAAAAACAAAGATATGAGAAAGGCATTGCCGAGCGTATCCGATCGGTTACGGCAGCACCTGAACAGCGCTCGGCCCGTATCCGATCGGATACACCCGCAGTGAACGTGTTAACCTAGGTTTCCCCTTTTCTCTTTAAGCACTACACTCTTTGAGTCTTTGGTATTTAGGATGTTTTGGATTGAATAATACCGAGCTCGAGACCAAACTGCATGTGCTGTGGGAAACTAAAAGCTGCTGGAACTAGCCCGAATTAACATCCTAGCCAAATGAATCTTAGATTCAAAACATAATTCACACCAAACTGAATATGAGGCTTTGTGGCTTTAAGCCCAGTCTACAAAATAAAAAAAGAATAGGATAAAAAAAGAGCCTGAGATCAGATTAAATTTGTGACCAGGATGGGCTTTACCCCTTGTTCTTGTATGGCTTTTTATTGGCAAGTGATTATAAGAATAAGTTTATATGCCTCTACATTGTTTTCATCTGTAAAACAAAATTTTCTGAACTTGCTAAATTTGTATCTTATACAAACCAGAAATTGTCAAAGTTTTATTATATTTCAATGGAACTAATGGTGAAATATTTATGACTTTTAAATTTTCATTATGCAAGTCTATAATCTCTATAAAACAAGAAATAATCTAAACTCAGTTGTCTATTTATAACACCACAAGCAGAGTACCCGTCCTTCGTACGGGGTTGGAATATAAGTATAAAATGCTTATTGCAGTTATACTCAAGCTTTGCGTTTGCAATAAGGGAGGACACAGTTTGATAAAATTTGCTTTTTTAAATTTACAGTATTCTACAGACTGTCCCAAAAGTCCCGGACCGGTTTAATATTTTCCAAACGACAAAAGATAAATCAATAAGATTTGGTACATCAACACCACACCTAAAAATCTACTTTTTCAAGGAACTATGAATTTTCTGTCATATCATGGGGACGTCCCGCAAGGAGTCAGAAGGAAATCTTAAATAGGAGCATAGGTCAATATGAACATAAAATGAAAGGTCTTTTTTAGTAGAATACAATGCCGCAAACCGCACTTCAAAAGGTTGATCCTGCGCAAAATGGCGGTGGTTCAAAGATTTCTTGAATCCGCCATTTTGAATCTTTGAACGACTGCCATTTTTTACTCAGGCGTTCTTTTGAGCTTGAATTTACGGCATTGTAATCTACTAGTGAAGACCTTTAATTTGATATGCATATCGACCTATGCTTACGTTAACAATTTCTTCCGATTCCTAGGGCTGTGCCCCCTGAGGAGTAAGCGTATAATAGCAATGCAAATTAAATTAATCTTTGAACAACTGTCATTATTGGCTCGGTTGTCCGTTTGAGTTCAAATTTGGGGCATTATATTCTGCTAGTAAAGACCTTTAATTTGATGTACATGCCAACCTATGCTTCTATTTAAGATTTCCTTCTGACTCCTTGCGGGACGTCCCCATGATATGACAGAAAATTGATAGTTCCTTAAAAAAGTAGATTTTTAGGTGGGGTGTTGATGTACCAAATCTTATTGGTTTATCTGTTGTCGTTTAGAAAATATTAAACCGGTCCGGGACTTTTGGGACAGTCTGTATAGTATTACACATCTACCATAGCCATCATGTTCTACAACTTTTACTGTGGTTGCTTTTAATAGTGGAAGGGAAAATCGGTGCTCCTGCCAATTATGAATTTATTTCTATCACAAGATTTGTGTATTTTGACAACTATAGTTAGGCCGCTTAGAAAACGACTTGCGCGCTAATGCTAAACCAATGCTAGAGGAGGTCGCTTTCTAAGCGGCCGAACTATACCAGTTTTTTGTGAATATAGAGTAGAGTACATGAAAGTTAAAAAACACTGTATAGGGATTTATCTAGTTCTCTGGGGGATGACCACGTTGTTGAATAAGCTTTAACTAAAGGACGACATGGTAATTTACTAAATTGGGCTGATTTCCATCATTCCTGTTGAAGTTGAAGTTTATTTCTAATTTTCTATGGGCTCTAACAAGAACATTTTTGGTGGTAGCAATGATTTTTGCGCCTTCAATTACCATGTAAATGTGGCGCAGAGTGCTCTACAGGTAGCGGAAATTTACAGGTATCAGTTATCCCCATGAGCAAAAACTTTCTGGAACTTTCTACAATACCCCACGCCCCACATACCTTCGCCCACGGCAATGCCCTCTCCAGTTGAACAGTTGGCCCTGACAATGTATAGCTGTTATGCTAAACATTGGCCTTAAGCTTATTCAACGACACAGTCATCAGACTAAGACCTAGATTTGACAATCAGCTGTGACTGTGAAGGCCTATCATCTAGAACAGTGTAGGGAGTTTGAATAAGGTAGTTTCATCATCTTACATCTCAATGGAGGGTTTAGTTGATGTACAACCCCCAAACAACCAAGAGTATAGGCCTAATTCAGCTATATACATTTGTACAGTGGAACTTTAATAACAAGACCCTTGATAACAAGTCACCCTTGATAACAAGTGTCATTGCAAATCTATACATAATTATATAACACCTTCAATTCCATGTTAATGAAAAGACCTCAATAATACATCACGTCACTCAACTTGATAACACGTCTAACAAACCTGCAAATAGACCTATAATAATTTATATATCAAGAGGATTTTATCAAGGTTCTGCCGTATTACAAAACAGACAAGGAGGGAAAATGAAAATCAACAAAATAAATACAATAATTTTAATAAATTTCAATATTAAACTTTTATTCTAGATAGATTTCAAAATCATTAAAAACTTAGTAAAACTTTGATAGTATTTTAAATTCTCTAAAATATATATTTTCAAAATCACAACAAAGAATTAACAAATTATAAAACCTAATAAAATTAACACTTCAATTTTATAAAAAGAAGTACTTTGTTCTAAATAACACAGTAGTAACATCGACGACGACGAAAGAGCCAAGTCTAGCCTCACTGGAACAGAGAAGAAAAACATTGGATTAGTAAAATCAGATAAACACATTTTTACTTGTACTAACCTTTTTGTTTTATTTAAGAGTAAAATTTTCATTGACATCAACTAACCATCCAAGGAATAAATTATTATTTATGAAAGGAGTATTTGGTAGTTTAGCTACATTACCAAATATTTTTCCTACAAGGTTTTGTCCAAAAAAATCATTTTTTAACTCATTTATTTTTCTAAAAGCTAATGATAGCATTTCTTGGTGGTTCTAATTTATCAAAATCTACCAATACCACTTGTTTCATTGCATTTTAATTAAGTCGTAAATTAACTTACTCCGCATATACCCCCCTCCCCCTCCCCCTCGATAATTTGACACATTGTAATCCAGAAGCATCGTTAACAGTCCTGCAGCGACATGAGATTAGACCTACAGACTTTTGAATAATGGCCTGTTTTAGAGCAGTTCTTGCGGTCTATTAGGTCCCCCCTGCCTCAACACAATCTATTAGGTCTATTAGGTCAATCCCCTGCCTCCTACTAGACTATTTGTTGTTACTTCCTTGGTACTTTCTGTTAATGCAATCATGCTTTTTTACAAACCCAAATCATTAACAGTAATTAAAAAATAGTAATCATATTTATCTTGATCAAAAACATCAACAAAAAACAAACTTGATAATCCCATACCCTACAGGTACCTAACCTGTCCGTTTATCAAGGGACAACTTGACAACTGTATATTTTTCTACGACAGGCAATGTCAACTGTGATCTTATAACTGGAAAGTATTGTTAAACCTAAAAATAATTAACTAGATACCCTAATAAAATAGTAAATAACTTCACTGTGTACAGTATAAATCAGTACCTATATTTAATGTGTAATAACAAAATGTGTTACTCTTCATATACTATTTCAATTTCAGATGTTGATTTAAGGAGTTTAAAAAACGGGATTAAGATTGTAGGGACAGGCTAGAATTGTTAACTTTTTTAATGTGAATTCTGATTGGTATACAGTTCACAAGTGTCCTGTGGGACTCGCACTTGTTTGCATCGAACCTCATTAAAATATATTTGAGTAACATTTAACTATTTTTATCTCTACTCTAAATAAAGTGTTCTAGTATTAATAATTACTTTAGAATTTCAATGTTTGCTGTTTACTGTTTCATTCTTCCTGTAGTAATACAAAATAACACCTACAACTATAAATGACATAATATTAAAATCAAAATGTTAAAATATCTAATAAAACAACTTGAACTCCAAACAAAGTTATTAAAAATAAAACTAACAAATGCACAAAAAAGTCATGCTCACCTGTAAAACAGTTGTCATGCTAAAACAGCTGCATGCTACAAAATCTTCATGCCTTTGTAACAATAACAGCTAAAAACTTAAAAAAACAACAATCCAACAATCATCACAACGCACACTGTTAGTGGGTGAAATGATTAAAAATAAAAACAGCATCCAAAAACATACTACAGAAGTAATTAGAGCACAAAACGACGATTAATCATAAACTACCGCTGGAAATTCATATTTTTTTGTTACCTAGAAAGGCAAAATTTTCTGCTTCCTTGCAATAGCACCCATCAAACCGCATGAGCTTAACGAAACAACGATTTGTAGTTGGAATGTAGTAGCACTTGTTAACGATAATTATTGTTAAGTTCAGTTATACATCAGTCAATAATTAAAAGTTCACTAATGCTGTATGCTAATGCTGGGTAGCAAAACAAACATGGCAAGCGAAAGTTTAAAGAAATCACCATTGTCGATTTCACATTAGTCTCAGGCCAAACTTTTAACAATATGCGTTTCTTTAAAGAACTGTTTTTTCATCATTTGGAATACGATCAGTGCTTTATTGAGTGATAATTAAGAATTCCTTGGATATTTTTGACAGTAGTTTCAAATGAATTAAGTTTTTTAAAAGGTAAATTTATCAGAACTGGGCTTAGAATTGAGAAACAAATCAATTCAATAATGGAATTATAGTTACACACTACCTTTATTTTTATTTCTTTTCAAACCGTTATCTTAAAGGATTGACTTCTAGATTAATTTTGTCCTAGTTCAGTGAACACCAAACCATCATTTGGAATTGTCTTTAAAAAAAAGCAGATATAGTACTCTGGATGAATGTTAAAGAAAATACGTAATCCAAAATACATTCCTTTCATGACCACTCTATGCTTACAACTCAAGTATGCAATTTCATCCTCCAAATCAAGTATAATGACTCAAACCATACCATAAAAAATATTACATAATTGGAAATTTAGTGAACTAAAAAATACAACCCAAAATTTTAACATTTACTAAAACACATTGAACAAATTAAGCAAAACATTGACTCTACCATGCTCACAGCCATTTTAAAGCTGGTATAGAATGGTAATTTTAAAAATACCTACCACAAATCGGTTGACTTTGGGACGAGGTTTTTCTTTTGGTTGGTCAACTTCAGCCTTCAAGGATTCAAATCTCGCTCGCAGAGATTTGGTCGATTCAATACTCTCTTGCTCAGACTCGAGCATATTGATGGCATTGTTTACGGACTGCTTCTCCGGCTCCCAGTGTTCGAACTTGTCTTTCAAAGCTTTGGCTCTAGCAGCGTTCTGAGCCTAGAAATTATTGATAGCATTAGCATTAGTTGATACATTGACATTGACACATAAAGTAAAGAGTTAGTATGTAAGTTGAGTGATTAGGATGTTCCTAGGAAAGCAATTGTGCTTTCAGACTATTAACAAAGAATGTTTTAGGCTGAAATTAATGAGATTTAGTTTTCAACAACATTATAATTCTTTATTCTAAACATTTGAGAAAACAGATGGGTCCACAAAAACTTGTTTGAAGAGTGCTTCAAACTTCCTTTCACCAATAGCACACAACGATTAGGCGGAGCAAATATTAACATTAGGCGGAGCAAATATTAACATTGAATAAACAAAGTTTTTTTAGAGACCATCTCATTCTTGATCTAAAATCCTAAATCTAAATAATCAAGAGCGTTGGTGGATTCACTTTAAAACCTTCCAAAAACGCTTCATACTTTTTAGAAATGAAACACTAACTTTTGTATTAGAAGGCAATCATTTGTATCACCCAACAACTCTGCTAATTCAACTTTTATAAAATACAACAAAAAATATATACTATAGGTATTATCAGAAAACTACATTGTAGTTATATTTGCTGTTCAGGGCTGACATTCTAATCCTACGCTAAAAAGATGTGATTGTTCTGTTCTAAATATCTTGAAAGTCGACGGTACGTACTTGTTTCAGGAATTCATCCTCAATCTTGTCGGATGATCGTACGATGCCGTCATCGCCGCTCTCCGCCTCCTCTTCGCTTTCTTCTTCTTCCTCCTCCGAGCTGGCTGAGCCTGATTGGTCCTCCTTGTAGTCTGGTGGCGGAGTGAAACACTTCAAGGGTTTGGGGCCTGAAAACACAAAAAAAACACTTTAATGTTGATGAGTACCAGTATTCTACTTATATTAGCATAAAAAAGCTGCTCAAAAAAGGTTTAAATTAGTTTTATATAAATATTTAGGAGCCTAATAATTTGATGTACTACACAATATTTGAATGAAGAATATTACAAACATTATGTATGTACATTATCAAAATTACTCAGTGGATAAATTATAATGGTTGTAGGCTAGAGTCAAATTTTTTTAAATTTTAATAGCTTTAGTACTGTAATAATAATTGATGCTGTCAAAATCTATCGTAATACAGTACCTACAGAACTTTTTGATGAAATTAAAAATACAATAAACCATTTTGCTACGAGACAGTATGTTTATTTATAGCCTCTCACTGGAGACCTGAGTCACAAAAACTATCTTGACCTTGAAGTTGTTAACACCCCCCTGCCCACCCTGCAAATTTTGTCTGTTTGTTTACTCTAGCGATAAGATAATCAGTTATCGAAATTGTAACGCACTTTACGATTTTATAAATTTGCCGCACAGATAACAAATCAGATGTGCTCGCGCTACGAATGATGATAACAAACTGGCAATATGCAATATTTTTTGGAATGAATACCAAATAACTTATTCTTAGTCACTCCTGTGGAGATAAGCGTATGGTTCCCATCTCCGGGCATGGGAGCAGAAATGCCGAGATTTCCAGATAGTGGCGGTTAAACCAAACTGCTCTCGAGGCAAGGTTGGTTAAAACAAACTGTAATATTTCAGGATAGAGGGCGGATAATCCGATCATTGGTTTATGCGAAGTCGTCTACTGTATATAGTCCCCCGCCCGTTTTCTTTATGGTCTTAGATGTATAATTTATTTTACAACACACCAGTTCTAGCATACATTTAATGGTTTTTTTAAATACAATTTTGAGTGGCTTTAACCTTGTTAAAAATCACCAACTACATTTTGTATTAATTCTGTGTTGCTTACCGTCTGGCAAAGCTTCTTTCTGCTCTTCCATTTGTCGGAAAAGCGAGAGCATGCGAGAAGCTGTCTGGCTGCGTTTGACAATTGTCTCGTCTTCTGTAGTGTCCTCGCTGCGGACTACGCTCGGGTCACGATACACCTCGCGATCGGGTGTCTCCTCCTGCTGACGGAACAACAATGGTTTAACAACAGTTACGGACAAGTTGTCGACAGTTTAACTAAACACAGTTCAACATGATGCAATTTGAATATGTTTAACTGAGTTGTGCAAACAAGTTACCCCAATACAAATTAGAACATAATAGATTTTCATTTACATGGACATAATTGACATATAAATTTGTAAAATATTATTTCAAGTTGTAGTTTATGCTTATATAAAAAAATATAAACAGTGGACTCTAACTAATCGGACACTGCAAAGAATCAGGCTCAGAATCAGAATCAGGCACTACGGAAATGGCCAGACTTGGGGTCATAACATTTATGGAAAAAAGAAAATTTTATTTGTAATATACTACGAATGTAAAATTGTAATTTTAATTACCATTCTAGTGAAATTGTTATTTGTATAACAATCTGGGTGAGGTCCACTAAGATTAAGAAGAATATCTGAAGAACAAATATAACAAAAACACTATCTAAAGTCTACTTAAAAATTTAAATAATTTTCAGAAAGCCTACTTTTTCCATCAGTAATTGTATTTAAGATATGGCCCAAATATTACTGAATTACTAAGAGTCTCCTGTACATATTTCTGATTTTGAATAATTTTTTTATAGCCTACATTCATTGCTGTTGAATACAATTTTTTCCTAGAACAACCAAAACAAATAACACAACAAAAAAACACAAACTTCAAACAACATAAAACTAAATATTAGTACTCGACAAATATTAGTACAGTGTCAATGTATAGATTCTTTGTAATGTCAGGTAAATTTATAGGAAACAAATCACAATTGGAAATATACGGTATCAGCAATCTGACACATACGCTCACCCACTAGCCTGCCAACAACCCTTATCATGGGTAAGCGGTGTGATAAGAACATCTAAAAGAATCAAGTTTGATTTATCAGACTCAGGGTTTACATGTACATCTGGTGAAATGAAAAGTTTTAGATTAGAGTCAGATCTCTAATGAATTTAACTGATATTAGCATATCATCTTGCTAAAAAAAAAGTGTGTCAGATGTTTAAATGCCGGATAAAAGGTAATCTGTCAACCTATACATGTTGGACACAAGACGATAAGTGTATAAAATACAGTTTTCTCATGACAAAACCGTTAACAACCAAACTGATTCATATCAACAGTGGTTTTCACAAAAAAGTTAGGCTACCTTAGGGTATCCTTAAAAAAACAATTCACATTTTGAAAACAAACTCAAACACAAACAAATCAAAAACCACATTGTATGGATATGTATATGATCAGAATCTAAGTAATGTAGCATTTCATAATATTTCGCTTTCAGCAGAACTTTAACAACATAATTTTCAGGGAATAGATAATTATGACTACTCTTTATCCACTTTTTATAGGTTAGTAATATTTAATAATCCACTGTTTTATCAGATTCAAAAGGATTAAAAAATTTTAATTTACTCTTATAATTTGCTTTAAATTGAAAACGGAAGATTTGACAATGATGCATCTTCACCTTTGGAACTGTGTCACTAGAAAACTGTAAGGATTTACAACAGTAAAGGTAACAAAAAGTTACTTAATGGGCCCTCGTACTTCCACTAAACTCTTGTACCAGTAAACGTGTAAGACTGTAAATGCGGCAACACTGCCATCTGTAAAACAAACACTGCTTGACAGTACCAGTCAGCTGTAGGCGGTGGACGAGTTACAAAATTCTGTTAGTAGGAGCAACACCTGTTACGACATTACTACAGGAGGTATTTACAGAGAGGTCGGAAGCGTAGCCGTTGTTAGCAAGACATAATACACATCTGTGAAAAGGAGTTTTGGCTGGCTTAACCTTCACTTGTCCGTCCCTGGGTGGAGTTATACGGAAAGATTTACGCTCTTTCTCGGGCGGTTTGTACGTTTCGAAGAACTTGAACTTGTTTGATATATCGGCCGTTGGAACGACAACGTCCTCTGCAGAGTCGCTGGCTCGCACAATGTCTTCTGACACTTGCCTCGACACCTGGTAAAAGTCATGGTGGAATGTCTTTGCAAATGCGCACTGTTGTAGAAGTGAGGTTAACAACGTATGTGAGAAGGGTTACGCCACCTTTCTTCTCAAAATGAAATTACATTTAAATTAATCACTAAACAAAAAGGTTATATTCTTAAGGGAAGGCAAGTGGCTAGTTAGGAATTTTCTTATAACTTAGGTTAGAGATCAACTTAACTAGCTTACATGAAAAATTAGAGTCCAGGGGGATAATATAGATTACATTATTTTATTAACAATAAAATATTACATAGAAGTTTTGTTAATACAAGACTTTTCTAAAGAGAAGGTTGAAGAGATGTTTTCCCTATCCACACATCGAGAGTTATATGTTATTTTGTGTAATCTTATTAATCTACACCTGGACTCTAACTATCTCAGGTTAGCTAGCTGAACTGTTATTCCTTTAAAAAATATTTCCAAAATATGAAAAAAACTGGTAGTATGTTTTCATTTTGTATTTTCTGAACATGACTGTATTGTTTTGTTTGAAATATTTTGTAAAGGAATAACAGTTCAGCTAGCTAACCTGAGATAGTAAGAGTCCAGGGCTAGAGATACTAAGAGATATTTGTTCAAAATATTTTTGAACAAAGATCTTTTTAAAACCTGAGTAAGCAAATCGTATCATTTATCCATAATTTCCTCCAATTCTATTTGACAGATTAACATATACTTCAATACAATTAGCATGGAACATAGACTACAAAACAACAGAGGCTTAAATATGTGTACTAAACTTTTACACACCTACACTTAAACCTCGCTCTACTGTCTTAAACGTAACCCTACCGTCTGAGAAGTGCGGCGTTCCGTGACTCGTGGCGTAAGAGCGTGCACGGGAGGAGAAATGGGGGATGTTTGCGTCTTGGCAGCCGTCGCATCCAGTTCCAGGAATATACTTCTCGACTTCTTAGATATACCTGGAACAATCGTAAGCTATGAAACTCCCACCCAACATAGGCTAGATTAAACACTTAGACGTGATATGTTTTATTTTTATTCTTTTAAGTTTACCGAGATAATAATGTTTTTACTTAAAACAGCTTAAAATCAAGATACGTTATTAATTAGATAATCAAAATTTAAGTGAGGAATTTTATATTTTAGATAACAAGTTACAATAGAGAGACTGAATTGAGTAGCATGTACCTTTGTAACATCCATTAAACATTTTATGCCCAGCCAAACAGCATTATTGTTCAACACAATCTTGTATTGTGTGTGTTGAATGGTGTCACGCAGTTAATCTGCAGTTAAGGCTGATTTGGGTAGAGCGATTGTAGTGAGGAATTATTTTGCAAAAGGAATAGATAAAATTTAGCTAACTTACCTGAGTCCATGGGCTCAAAAATAAAAGACTACAATACATACAACTCTGATATTTTTTCATCCTAGTAAAGCATAGGACTTTTCCTTTACAAAATAATTCCTACCTAGCCACTTGGCATTCTTTTAAAATGTACGAATTAAGTTTAACTTCAAAGTTTATCTGCACTTTTATTTTTCCATAGTAACTCACCAGCTTCAAAAACGCTCATGTCTTCCACGTCCTTATTTTTGCTCTTCTTCTCCTCGTCTTCTTCTGAGTCTGAGTGAATCACTTCCCCTCGTTCAAACCTCTCTTTCAGAAGTCTCGCCTTTTCACTCGCAACAATATCGGGGTCTTTCTTTGTGGTTATTTTCCCCTCACTCTCCGCAACCGCTTGCTCGTACATCTCTTTCATTTTTCCCTGTTTACCCTGCGGAAAGAAAAAATGAAGATGTAAAAATTGTTTTAATACAAGGCTACAGAGTTAAAAGGTGATATAAAACTGAATTAAGGTTGAGATGATTTAGTAAAATGTGAATTCTCTCTAAAAAAGAATGAATGCCATGGCGAGAATATGAAAATACAATTTGTTTTGGTTGAATATGAAAATACAATTTGTTTGTATTTGCGTTTTTAACCTTGTTGTACATCTCTTTCATTTTTCCCTGTTTACCCTGCGGAAAGAAAAAATGAAGATGTAAAAATTGTTTTAATACAAGGCTACAGAGTTAAAAGGTGATATAAAACTGAATTAAGGTCTCAACCTTAATGATGATTTAGTAAAATGTGAATTCTCTCTAAAAAAGAATGAATGCCATGGCGAGAATAGGTGAAAATATTAACATTCTACAAACTTCTAGCATCAGCATACATTTATAAACCTGTAAATGTACCGAGTTAATAAATTTGTATACAAATCCAGTTCCTCTCAATCGGATATGTTTTATACCTCGGCTAGTTCAACCAGCCACTTAAATCTGATTGACAAATTTGCAAACAAACACAGCTTTGTCCATTAGGTAAGCATATAAATCATAACTTGTTCAATACCAACAAGTAACACAGCGCTAACAATTGTAGGGTACATATTCCTCTTATTGTTTGTTTAGTGCTGTAGTACAATCTAATTCAACCATTATTTCAAAACCTCTAGCCATAATGTTTGTATCACCTTCTGATGGTTTGGTTTGGACTGATTTGCGTCGGACAAGAGTCTAGTCACAAGATGTTTAAACTAGGGTTAAAAATTTAACCAACAAACGTAACCGTTAAAAAAATTACAAAACAAAAATGTTACTACGAAATTTAAAATAACTTTGTGGAATAAGAATATAGCCTATGGATAAAATGAGTTTCAAAAAAATTTTTTTTTGTTAAAACACATGACTGACCTGGAACAGCCGGGATCTTATTTGGCTGATTTCCTTCTTGTGTTCGGCTCTCAGTTCTTCTTTGGTCTTTTGTGATCCAGAGCTCGACTCCCACGTCCGCTTTACGTCCTCCATTTTATTAAAACTAATTGGTTTCTCTGTTAGCTTGGAACCTTTTACAACTTGGCCATCTTCTGCAAATTAAAATTCAGAATTACATAAGATTTTTAATTGTGAAAAAATTTAGTACTCCTACTATTGTTAATTTGGATTTAAACAATAGCATAGGCCTATATCTATAATATCAATATCAAGTAAAAATATCTATTAAAGTTAATTATCTAATACCTAAAATAAACACAGTGTACAGTGTAATACATTATTAACTTAAGTGGGATCTCTCACACAACTTAGTATGGTGACTGAATGGTATTGTTTATATGTATTCATAAAGAAAGGGTGAGAAACACATATTTTTAAAACAAATTAAAAATTAGCAAAATATGCCCTGTATATTGTTATATTTGGTCATGATAATTTTAAAGGTAGGTACCTAATTCAATAATGTAAAATGACAATACAACATCAACATACTAAAGTATAACTGGCCCTAAACATACCTTAAAATAATCTATATGGATGGTAAATTTGCAGTTGCACATTATGACCTCAGTGACCCCTTCCCATTGGCATCATTTCAGACTTTTAACTGGGATGACAAAGAGCTACCGGGGGGTCTGGGGTCCTCCCCCAAGAAATTTTAAGAAACTGGCTTTAAAATTTGTTAGTTTTTAAAGCTTTTTCAAACTATTTTTACAACATTTTTTTTTTATTTTTCTGTCTGCGGCCCCTGGGCAGTTGCCTATCGTGCCTATTATGTAATCTGCCATTGTAAATTTGTTAAGAACTAGGTTTAAATCCATGGTACATTAATGGGTCAAACGTATTTCCAAACTGTTTCCAATCAAATTCAAATCTTTGACCAATGATATAATGTAATGTACACTAACTAACTGACATAATATAAGTTAACTAATAAAAAAAAGGGAAGTTAAAACAGAACATTCAAAAGTACATATGGTAAACTTAAGCTACCTTAATTTTTTTCAGCTATAATTTTTAAAAGGTGTATTTTCTATGGTACATTATACAGTATTTATTTGTCAATTTATTGTTAACAATATTTAGACCCAACCAAACTTGTAATGTAAACAAACTGACCTTGGGCTTCATCCTCAGAGCTAGAAGACTCCTCGTAGTCGACTCCATTAAGAGTCTCATCAGGCACTCCAATGTCCATTCCTTTCTTCTGAAATCTAAAAATATATAAAACTAGCAATTTGTTGGATCTTCTACGAAACACGTACAAAAAACTCTTCCAAACATGAGTTTACTTTGTTTTTACAGCTAAGAGATGAAATGTTTTGGTTTATGTTTTAAACATGTGTTAGTTGTGTTATTATTTTGATACAGACATTATGGAAAATTAATTCCCAAAAATACTGTGATCTTAGTGTATTGTTTGTATTTAAAACTTGGACAATTTGTAGAACATAATGACAGGGTATTTTGACAGTTAACTACAAGTTCTGTTGATGTAAAGGTAATATAAAAATTATTAGATTTATTTAGAAATGAAATGAGAAGTTTTTTTTCGGGCAATTTTGAATTTTGTTCTTTTTTATACAGGAATTGTACTTTTGTATAGAAATAGAAACTGCATACAGTTATTCATCAAAAACAACAAATAACTGCTTAGTGTAAATTGAAAATTTGCTTTCTTAATAATCATAGAAGCATACTAAGAAATCTTTCTGAGGAATTCAGTCAGTGCTCCATCCATAAGGTCTACAAAATTATCATGCTATTCAGCAACATAAAAAAATAGATATTTCTTACTGGTTTGATACCAAATAGAATTTCTATGAGATAAAGTATAATACTAATTTCAAATTTGTCCCTGATAGAAAAGATATTTGTCCCTGATAGAAGAATTAATCAATGAAATTATATTAACGCCGGTTGGATTCATTTTGCAGATACACCTGAATCTGAAGAAACTTACAACTAAAAAGAAGGTCAAACATAAATGCAGAAGTAGTAAATTCTCATGGTTTATTATTTCACAACAGAAGTATGATGATAAAGCAAATATTGACTGCCAAAGATGACTCACTGCATGTGTTATTGAATACTTACTTCATAGGTAATGTAATGGGATGGTATGTTAACTCAATATCTATTTTTACTAAGTGAATGCCCCATTCTAGCTTAGAATTTTTTAGTTCATATAAGATCTAACATTGATTTTAACTTTTCATCACACCTAATAAACCTATCATAATTAATTGGGTTGGAAAGTATCTTGCACAAATTATCCTGCTAAACTAATATTATGTATTTGAAAACAATAGATATCACCTGGGAAAAGCCAGTCATTGTTGTTGGCGTACAGTTTTATTCTTATCAAGGAACTTATAAGATGTTTGATCAACAACTCTTTAGGACAGCAAAGTACATTAGGGTGAGTATTTTAAGCTAAATGAATGCAAGGTGAGTGTAGATTGGAGTAGCTTTGTTACTGACAAAGATCAGCTGTTTTATCAGTCTGGTTCAGTCGGGTCCGGTTACGAACCATCAAAAAGCTAACGCCATTTCTCAGGATCGAACCGGCGACCTTTTGGTTGTAATGCAAGCCCTAGTCACTCAGCTAACCTGCTTTATTACTTCATCCCGCTCAGATTTTCAGTATTATTTACGAACACTCTCTACTTACTTGGCGAGTTTGCTGAGGATACTGGGAGATCTCTTTACGTTAACCGTGCTTGGAGATCGCTCCACTTCGATACTTTCTGACGTTTTCTCGAACACCTGGAACCTTGACTTTACGTTGAGAGCACTTAGCTCCTCCAGCCCCAGATCGGCCTTATCGCTGGCTGAAATCATAAAATTGTGTTACAAATTAACTTACAACTCACAATCTATTTCTTAATTTTTCTGTCAAAAACCTATCGTTTTTCCAGGTTATGCTCAAAGGATGGTTTAAATATGCACCTTTTAGTTGATTTCAAGTCATAATTCCTGGGAATTAAATCAATTGTTGAATAAAGTAGGGTAAGTAAGAATGAGTTTAAAACACTCCATAGTGTGTGGTATTCACAAAAATTTGAACTGCAATTAAAACCGCATTACAATCTTAACATGCTATTAATGAGATATCACTGAAATTTGCAAACAATAAAAATTGGTTTTACAACTAACTGATTTTTCTTTTACATGGGAAATATACGGATATGAACGTAAATTTAAATATCTTTCAAACAGTTTAGGATACAAGAATGACAACCTACATTCCTTGAAGTACAACAATTAATTGATCATGTTACTACTTAACTTTTTTCAAACTTCCATTTTTTGGCCCCTGGACCTACTTACCAATTACTTAATTCACTTTTTTTGAGCTATTCAATTTTAGAGTTAGAAATTTGACCTGTGGGCATCAAACTAAGCAATGTCCAAAGAATACTGTGCTAAGAATTTTTTCATTGACAGAAAACAATACCAACGATCAAAAAGTACTTTTAGTCATAAATTGATCTCCCCCCACTGACTATTAAAAATACTATTCAATATTTGACAAAAAACACCCGATTAAAAACTCAGCCTTCATAAACTTACCTTTATTCCTCAAACCCATAAGGATTTGAGTTTAATAACAGTGAGCAAAGTAAAATAAAAAATGAATACACAAACACACAGTCAAACTGTTAAGTTTATAAAAAATGAACTAGATCTAGTGTAGGTGGCGGTAGCAGTGGCAGTGGCATGGTGTAGAAGGCGGTGGCTACCATCACACCAAGGTTACTAGAGGCGGTGAACCATGCCGTTACATGCAGTAATTGCTAGGCTCTCACACACCCTATGGGAACAATGCTCTCTTTCTCTCTCATTGTTGGTAGTTAAAGTTCAACTAATTTAAATTGAACTCTTCCAATCATTTACCAATGTTTTTCAAATATTTGTAGTTTTTGTAATGTCTTATATTTTTAATTTGTGTTATTGTTCTGAATATTGTGTAGGCCTAATTTGATTCTTTTTAATTGAGGAATCATTTTAATGGTTTGTGGAACATATTTTTTGAGTAAATTTGATTAATTTACTCTGATACTCTGATTAATTACTTATTATGATTGTTCATCAATAAGTTTTTTTGTATATTTCTCTATGTTTAAAATAGTATTATCTGCTATGGCTTAAGGTATAATGAGTATACAGAGTAATGAATAGAAAGGTAGAATATACGTTTGATGGAAAAAAATCAAAACATATAATAGCTCAGTTCACTAAGGAAAGCATCTATAGGCCTAATATCTAAATTATATATTTGTTTAAATTATCAAAGACTTTGAATAAAAGGGCATGTTTTCATGTAATAATCATTATTGTGCATACTAGTTTGAAATTTTCCTAATCTGGGTATTAAAACCCTAATTATAGAATTTTTTTGGATCTTTTTATAAAAAAAATATTGTACCAAAATCAATTATAAATTGTAGTTGAAAAATCCTAAGCATTCATTAAATTTGTTAATAAAAAAAACAGCCTACTTTCCCTTTCAAAAACTATTATTTTGATCACATAAGGTAAGTTTAAAGCTTTATTTAGACAAAATATTTCTTTTTACTTTGTAAAAAAATTAAAAGTTCAAATTCGACCAAAGCTTTTAATTTTCAATAAAACTCTTACTAAAAAAAATAACCAACATAACAGAAGCTCAACACCTGAAACGACCTAGAGAAAGCCCATTAAATCTCGCCCTAGAAACTGCTATAATTCTAACAATTAAAGTGACATAATTCACCACAATTTTAACAATTGGTGAGATTAGCATACCTTTGAATAACACCATGTTGGCAACAATATAATTAACTCACAGCTGACTGACTGAGTCAGCTGTTGCTAAGTAATGTGGCAGGGGGAAGGGGGGAATTTAACACTCAGCTTTTTCTGCCTACTCGGTAAACAAATTCCACACCTTCCCACCTAACTATGGCCTGGTTTCCAATAGTGGACAGTTCGATTTGGCCATGTTTTCAACTGCAAATTATGATGACAGGATATTTGCTTATTGTCTGATTCCACTGCCCTGATTATGTATTATTTTTTATATAATAATATGTTGGTTAGTGATCGTCTTTTGTAGCTTACTTCAATTTATATTTTCATGGTTGAATTGTGTATGGTGGTTTAAGGGGTATTAAACTAAATTTTTAATGAATTACTATTAAGTTGTACTACCTATCTTACTAAGAAATAAGTTTGATTCAAGACTTTTTTAAATTGTATGCTCATAATGGCTTGACCTGTGATGGTAAAACAACCGTGATTATAGTCCATATTATTACATCATATTTTTTATCCAAAGAAAAAAAAATATATCAAATATTTTCTATTCAATAACAAAATAAAATAAAAGCATTTTGAACATAAAGCATTTCTCTAATCTGTACAAAATTAACTGTCATTTAGATCATTTATATAACAAAATCAAAACTGTCTTATTTATTTCACAAACATTTTATATAATTTCCATTATACTAATTCATACAAGAAAGTAGAACAAGACTCAATTATAGATTAACATAATAACTGGTGTTAGTAGGGGGTATGAATGGGAGTGCAATATGACCATTCACATAAGCAAAAACACCTTAAAATCTAAATGGAGTTGAATAGGAGAAAAACAAATCAAATTCAATGAAAAGAAGCATTAATTAAAAAATATAAGGACTTGCATGATTTGAGATTTTGACATCAAACAACAAGTTAGTATTATTGCAAAACCATGCTTTAGTAAAAAAAATTCTCACAGTAAATATGTTAAAAGTGTGAAAAAAATCACCGTCTTTGGGTATTATTTTTGCAGGTTATGTAAGAGAATGAAAGATATGTTGAATATTCCGAGAATCTACAATTACTAATTGGAAAAATATAAAAAAATTTATTTAATTAAAACCTGAAAGATGCTAGCCTATTTATTCAAATTAATCTTCATCACTCACTATAACCATGGAAAAAAAGAATTTAATATATACTGTGAGCTGTGCTGCGGTTAGGTTACCATAGGTTCTGGCGCACACCGCTGGGAGCACCATGTAATCACGGCGTACGCGCTACGTAACTAAATGGCGCTCCCAGCGGTGCGCCAGAACCTAAGGTGACCATAGTAACCGCAGCACGGCTGATAGTCTATTTAATTATTTTTGTCCATGCTAAAAAATACTGTTTACAAATCATCTGTTAGTAAACAATATAACACAGACTGTTAGAAACATGATTATTACTAATCTCATTCTCAACAAGATAAGGTAAACACTAAACAGGGCATGTTTAGAGTTAAACACAAGCGTTTACCTCGAACTACATCGGGAGGCAACTCAACGGGTTGGTTTTCTCTTATTATCATTTCTGGTTTTCTCCGTCTCACTAAACACAAGTGCTTAGTTAGCGCAGTAATTTATTTGATTTAAAATACCTACTCGTCTTAAAACTAAAAATCAAATGTTAAAACTTAGGAATTAATTTAAAGAGAATTTTTTCAATAGAGTTCAGCTAGCCTACCTGAAAAAATTAGACTCCAGGTGCCAATAGATACACAATAACAGAACACAAAATATTACACAAAGAAATGTTATGTCTTGTGTTCTTATTCCCTGGAATCTAATTTTCTCATGTAAGCTAGTTGAACTCTATTCCTTTCAAAAAATGCCTAACTAGCCAAGTTAATTTCCTTTAAATAATTAACAAAATGTTACAACTTAACATTTATTAAACTTAAATTGGTAGCTGTACGCCTACCATTAACTGTAATAAATAATTCACCATATAGTTAGATACAAACAAAAAGATTTAAATTTACTTAAATTATGAGATTGCAGAATTTATTATTTCACTTGGTATGGAAAGAATTTGAAAGATAATAAATATTGAAAGATTTTAATGATCTTTTAGTTTTTCTTGTAATGCAAGAACAAGAAACAACAACAAACAAAAAAGAACAAGAAAGTTTACTTTATAAACTACAAGAACTGTAATGGGGCTCTGGTATTAGATTTGGGTACTTTCCTGTTAAAGGGAACATTCATTATTATCGATGATTTTTTCTCGATATATTGATATTTTTGTTTTCCGATACATTACAAGTTGACAACTGATCTTGTTTAGGCTAAAATAGTCTATTTTATGGATTAAGAAATGAAACTGTTCTAAGCTAACCTAACATAACAACCAAACTTGCTGTACCAATTAAAAATTCCGTTTGATAACAGAATAGGCAAGTTAAACACGGAATTTTTAAATTTTACACAGCAAAGTTTGGTTAGTTATGTTAGGTTATTTTTTATAACAGTTTCATTTCATTATTGTTTGTTGATACTGAACAATATTTATCGTAGTTGTCAGCTGATATGTTTCAATTTGTTAAAATCGATATATCGAGAAAAAATCATCGATAATAATGAATGTTCCCTTTCAGGAAAGTACCTAGATTTGTTTGATATTTACTTAACTAATTTAAGTAGATTTTTAAGCTTTTTTAAAAAAAGAAGCTCCATTGCAAAATATTATTGAGACAGAATAAAGGTCTATATGTATTGAGAATAAAATAAACTCAAACAAATTTTGAAAAAACACCTTTCATCGCATATTGTGGAGTTAAATATTACTACAACAAATTAAAACTGAAAATTATCTGAGAAATTGAATAAAATACATCAGTCTGGAATGAAATAAGGCTAAATATATCTTCTTCAGTCCTTATTCAAATGTTAAACCTGAGGTTGTCTGTGTAAATTAACATCCCACACAAAATTCCATCAAAATAGAGCAAGCTAAAAATGTTACAACAATGACAAGTTTTCCGCCAGATCAATTCTGGCCGATCCCCACCTCTTTACGACACTTAGTTTCGCTGAAGTAAGAATGAGGATGGCTGGAAGAGAAAAAACAATGGCTAATTAATTTGGACGTTTCATAGGCCAACTCCAGTTTAAAATTCATCAGTTGATGGATGTGTAAAAAGATAAAAGTGATGTTAACATTGTGCAGAAAGCATGTGTTAAACAACGAGGGCGGCCGCAACCATTCACCAATTTTGCTCAGTATAGTGAAGAAAGGAGATAGTCTCACTTACAGATCTTGCGTGATGGATTAGGAAAATGTTCCAATCCCCCAAACTTAAAATATGATTTTACCAACCCTATTTAAAAGTTTGATGTTTGCCCTTACTAACTACAAATGAAAATTTTGTTTTACTCACGAGGTTCTTCGTCCGCGTTGTCGAGAACTGCTTTGGGTTTGAACAACTCTTTGAAGTGAGGTTTACAGTACAACTCTCCCTCATGGCTCTGGTAAATGTCCACTCTGTAACAACATTCATGTTCTCGTAAATATGTTTGTAGCATTGTTAATACAGAATACACATTTGTTGCATAGGCAGTGATTACTTGTACCTGCTTTAGCTTATGTATTTAGGTTATGTATTTTATTCCCAATGTCTTTCAACACTATATCACTACTAAACCAAAATAAAACTCAAAGAAGAATTTTGTGCTCTGCTCTTACTCTATGCAAAAAATGGTAAACAGGTGTTTTGTTCAATCCTTATCAAACTCATTAATGCTGTCAACTTCAAAATAAACCACAAATTGTTTACTTAAGGTGGAGTCCTCCCACTGGCTAAGACACAGTTTATTAAGGAAATCGAACCTGCACATGTGGAACGTCAGAGCTACAGTCTACAACTGTAAGTGCACCGTGTACTCAACTTCAACAAGTCACTGTATGCAACGGTAGCGCTCACAGGAGAAGGGGTTTGCAACACAGAAACTACACAATATGCCGATACGAGGTAACACCTTCTAAGCATCATTATGCCCATAATTCAATTTTGTTCATAAACAAGTCTAGGCCTACCGAAAAGGTATGGTAAAAGCGAACAAGAAATCCATCTTAGATGGTATGATACAACAAATTTGTAACCTAGAAAAAAAGAGAAGTAAAGAAAAAGAGAGGATTTTAGTTCATTTGTGCTTTTCAACATGCATGAAATGAAAAATGCCTTTATTTAAGAGGCGAAGTTAGGACTAGCAAGTCCTCTCTACCACTTAACCTCTAAAACATAAATAAACTATCCACTTACTTTATAAATAAAATTAAATAATATAAGGTACCATATTATAAACATGTTGAAATTAAATTTAAACCCAAAAAATCTATTCACACAAGCCGCCAACAACCCGCCACACCAGCGCCAGAGACTCATTCATGTCTGCTGCTCAAAATCATAGATTTTATCTCTGCCCCAAACCTTGCACCGTTCTCAATGGATTTTATTTGGTCAGGAAGAAAATTCCACATTCGAATTGCAGATACAGTAGAACCTCTTTAATCCGAACCCCCGTAATCTGAACGTCCACTAATCCAAACCCCTCATTGCTGTACTCTATACACAGTACAGCAGTTCTTTATTGTATACTGTATTTAATTTACAGTACTCTTTATTCACCATGTTTACTACTGTATAAAATAAACACTGTATTTTACTTTATAAAACATTTTTTCACTTTCCCCAAAATAATGTTTATTAATTTTAGCCATGTTTTAGCTATTGTCATGTAAAAACAACAATATGTTCTGTAATCCGAACTATTCAATAGTCCGAACTACCCCTGGTCCCAATTAGTTCGGATTAAAGAGGTTCTACTGTACTAAGAAAGATTTATTAAAAACTGTTGACCGGTGAATTGGTGTAGATAAAAGAAGAGAGCCTCTACGAGTGGAACGGGAGCTGATGTCAGAAATGAAATGGAAGTTTTCTGATAAATACTTAGGAATTTTACTGTTGATAATGGAGTGTAGAAGACGGAGGGTGTGAAATTCCCAAAGTTCATTTAATGAAAGCAGGTTGAAATAGGGAGTGACATGGTCATATCGTCTAACGCCAAATATGAATCTGATACAGGAATTCTGCGCTCGCTGAAGTCTGCTAGAAACCTCATTAGTCATTTCATTGATCACCACATCACAGTAGTTGAAATGAGTCAAGACGAGAGTTTTTACTAACATGATTCTCAAGTTCAGTGGAAGGTATTCTGCAAAACGTTTGATGGTGTGAATAGCCCCAAAAACCCTGATACATGGTGTTACATGCATGGTGTGAATCTATAGTGGTAAAGGCTAAACAGATGTTGGACACGTACGTGAGTTGTTTGCTACATTCTTTGCAGCGAAAGCAATTCTTGTGCCAGACGCTGCGTTCCGCCTTGATCTGTTCCATCGCAAACACGGTCTTGTTGCAAGCCTTGCATGTCGGGTTGGCTCCTTGCACCTCGGGTGTGTCCTACAAAAAACATATCAGTTGAATCTTTTGACTGACGTAAAAACGAGACATTCCATCACCATGCTCACCAGTATTGAATCTGTAGACTTAGTTGAGTTGAGCCTCCAACAGAATGTGCTGATGTAAATGTGCTGATTTCTGTTGAATGCACCAACTTTTTAATCTAGTCAAAATGATAAGGCTACTTATTGCACAAATTCTGGAATAAAACCAGGTATGGATCATAAACATAAGCAAATGACATTTTTGGCCCCAATCCTATTCTAATAGCATTAACGTTTTGTCAGTTCCATTTAAGCAATGTTAAATAATGTTTATTTTCGGGCAAAAACTTCCATTTTCTTTTTATGATCCATACCGGTTCTTTTCAAGTATTCGTGCACTATTGTCACATCAAAACATCTCAGTAAGAAATACTAAGAGAGAATTCGTAAATTTAGACTGTAACATACTCTTAGAGTGGATTATTCAAGTATGTTTTTACTTTTTTTTTTTTAAAAAATAGGCTACAACTGGTCCATTGAATGTGTACAAAAGTATATTGAATTGTTGAGCAGTATATTGAATGTGTACTTTAATATCAAAAAATGAATTATTAAATCTAACTTCATAATGGGAAAGCTTCCAAGTTCACCGAATAATCTAATTAATTTTTTTTTTTCTTGAGCTACAGTTAGTATTCAATTTTCTTTGGATTTTAGTTTGTATAGGCCTATAACTACATAAAATGACAAATTGTTTTAATATCTAACTTTGAAAATTATCTTCACAATTAATTGGTCTGGATCTAGTCTAGTCTATATTTTGAGGAAAAACTCATGCATTGAATTGAAATAGTTAAAATTAATAGTATTCATTGAAGAGGTAGCTATAGTTTATTGGTTATTGGCATTTCATCAATATTAAGATAATTTAACAAGGCACTAGATTTACTTTCATGCAGAATTTTTCATTTTGAAAATCACATAATTACACAATTAAAGAGGTTAATGTGTTCAAATAGAAACATTTGTTTCAATATAATGTCATAGTAAGAGTAAAATAAACTATAGGCCTACCTGAGCCATAATTAGAACACTCCCATTGCAGTTATTCAAACTTGGAACGTTATCAATACAAAATTTTCTAAGATAAGATAATAGACAGATAATTTTACATTGGTTATGTAGCTGCAACAGTGTTATAAAATGTTTTATATGTAAAAAGAATAAAATATATTAACTAACTATTAATAGGTAAATAATACAGAAATATGATATAGGCTAATAAGATAGATATTATTGTTAATAGATATTTTGTCCTAGGAGAGTAAGGTTTTCACCTGAACTAATTATAACTGTCAATTGTTCAATTGATTTTGGTTTCAATATAGGTCAATCAATTGTTTGTGGCACAAGATACCTAAACTAGAGCATAGATAGCTACTCTATTTGGTGGGTTATTGCTGATATTACTTTTTATAGTAATAATTGTTTTTAAGAGGCAGTTTTTGTATCTAATAAAGTTTTAAGTAAAAGATTCTAGATAGGTCAATTTGTTTTCAAATTATGTAAAACTAACTATATTTATCTAGACTAAGTTCAAATTGCCACGTTAGTTGTGCCTACTAGCAGTTTGCCAAAAATAATTGCGTTGCCATTGTGACAAAATGTCAATTTGAAAATGTTCTCTTAAAAAAAAAATTTAACTGTGAATAATTCTTATAGGTAAAAATGTGCAAATCAATGAAATGATATTTTACTATTTTAGCATACAAAATTAAATAGAGAGTAGTTAGCTCATATGATGAATCAAAATTGTAGTCATCGTCAAAACAAGAAAATTAATTTTTTAAAGTTTAATAAATTTGAGACCGAGGTGTAATTTGACCTCTTTATTGGTGCTACAATTCTGTGATTGGTAAAACCTTTCACTCAGTATATGCCTCTCATTTTGATGAAACTAAATTTAAACGTTTTCACACACTTGTCCACGTAGCGCATTAGATGTTTGCGCTACCGGCAGCGGTCGGCCATCGCGCTGCCGCATTGAACATGTTAAAGTTTTTTGTGAGGAAATGGGCCAAACCCTGGTCTTATGGCTACCTAACATAAAGTATCATTAATGAACAGCACAATAAAAATTATGTGAAAACCTAGCAATTTCGTAGATTATAATTCGTTAGCGTCATAAGTGTTGGTAATATATACAGGGTGTTTTTTTAAAAACTTGCATCTTTATTTATGTAAAAACCGCAATAGATAGAAATATGCATTTTGCGGGAATCATCCATTGACGTAGGGGGCCCAATTGTTTTGAATTCTACGTTACATTCACATTCCCCCCCTTTCCCCCCTGCCCCCAACATAATTTTTTTAAATAGCAAGGTACCCCTTGTGACATATCAAATAAAAGAGCATGAAAAAAGAAAATGTTTGATGAAAAAAATTGAAAATCGGTTCATAAATTTGCGAGATATTTCCCCCTCCCCCTCCCCGGAACTTAATTTTTTTTTTAATAGCAAGGTACCCCTTGTGACATATCAAATGAAAGAGCATGAAAAAAGAAAATTTTTGGTGTAAACAAAATTAAAATCGGCTCATGAATTTGTGAGATAATCCCCCCCCTTTTCCCCTACCCATAACTTGTTTTTTAATAGCAAGGTACCCGCCCTTGTGACATATCAAATGAAAAATAAATTTCACCAAACATTTTCTTTTTTCATGCTCTTTCATTTGATATGTCACAAGGGGTATCTTGCTATAAAAAAAAAAATGAAGTTCCGGGGAAAGGGAGGGGGAAATATCTCGCAAATTTATGAACCGATTTTCATTTTTTTTCATCAAACATTTTCTTCTTTCATGCTATTTCATTTGATATGTCACAAGGGGTACCTTGCTATTTAAAAAAAATAAGTTGGGGGCAGGGGGGGAAAGGGGGGGAATGTGAATGTAACGTAGAATTCAAAACAATTGGGCCCCTTACGTCAATAGATGATTCCCGCAAACTGCATATTTCTATCTATTGCGGTTTTTACATAAATAAGGATGCAAGTTTTTAAAAAAACACCCTGTAGAATTTTTACTGAAGAAATTTCACGATTCTTACCTGATTTAACTGTTTCTGGATTTTTGAAGCGTCAGACGATCGAACATGCAACACTGACTTCTTCTGCAGCTGATCAAACTTGCTGAAACTTGATTTCTGCAAACAAAAACAATACATAAATACCACACATTCTTGAATATTACATTGCTGAAACCAAAATATTACTATGAGTGAAAAAGTATGTGCACGTGTTTTGAAAATACTTATGCTCCAGGAACCCAAATACCTGAAAAACTGAAACTGAGTGTGCTATGAAAAGTGAACTTTAATACTCGACGTGTTAAAATATATAAAACTGCAAATGGTAAATGATATGTTTGACTAAACTAAACTGTATAAAATCATAACACTATTTTGTTTCTTTTTTATGAAAAAGTGTATACCTTCTCATTACAAAATTACGATGTTTAAAAATCTATTCCTAAATAGTAATGAGCTAAAAAAGAGTAACATAGGTTCACCTTACGAGAAGGAGAAGTAACAATTAACAAATATCTTCATCTTATGTAAACAAATTTTGTATTGGTTATTTTAATTCAAGCAAATTTTAAACATCTGCATAATAGATTGATTGAAAAATGATCACTTTGCAAGCAATATTCTAAATCAAATCAAATACACTGGTGGAAGTCAAAATATATATACATTTATCGTTACCTTTTCACCAGACAGATAGAAAGAAGAAGAACCAAAAGAAAAGATGTATCAAGAACTCTTATCACATGCAACTTCCAAATTAAGACAGTTATCAAGAATAAATGAATGACCAGTAGAAGCACTAACCTTAAGAGTATGGGCCACATTTCTGTTTGGGGGAGGAGTTAGTACGATGGGGGGCGTAGTAGGTTCGTTTGATACCAAATTCCAGTAGCTTGCAGCCTGTCATGCACATAACACGTAAAATAATATAGCATTCCACATTCCGAAAAACGTTCAGTTTTCTTACCTTGTTTGTAGAGAGACAACCTTAATTTCCGTTGTAAAGTAAGTTTACTGTGAAAACTAATGAAAAAAGTATTGTGAATAGTCTAACAACATAAACACTTGTAGGTGTTAATGAATTAGTTAATTAGACCAATTCGTTAATTACAATGAAAAATGTGGTTCGTATTCCACTATAAACTGTAGGTCCCTTAGGCTAGGATTATACTAGGATGCTGGCGTCCGAGAGGCCAGCGTCCGGGACGCTAGCGGGGCATTAAATCAAATGGGGGCGATTATACTATGGATGCTAGCGTCGGATGCTAAAAAGAGCCACCGGACGCTCGAAGCTATTACTGTAGGTGGCATGGTAAGACCTAGGCCCGGGACCGATTTACCTTTTCATTTTGATGTCCCCAGAGGCCAAAAACACCACCCACTCGTATATAGATTTAAATATTATATATAATGTCTGTAAACGCGATAACTGGAGTAACTTTTGTCCTATTTTGAAGAAATTCTGTTTAAAGGTGAGGGTTGGGATAAACTTGAATGAGTTCGCGAACCAGCATGAACAGACCTTGGGAACAGGGTTTTATGTGCTAAAAAAGGGGGTTTGTCATTTTTGACCCATAAAACTGGAAAATTCCCAATTTCTCTCTAGACAATTTCAATGAGCTTAAAAACAAATAATTTAGTATATTTAAGTGTTTGTGTACTGTTATTAGTTATGGAGAAAATTTAAAAAAGAGTATATTAAAAATTGCCATGTTATTCTTATAGAAAATGTTGTTATGTGTTGGAATTTGCTTGTGTATGGATATATTTTGATTAAACTTGGACGATTTGTTTTATACTAAGCTAATAATACAGTATTTTACTAAAAACACACTTTATTAGCCCCCTTAAAGCATCAAACCTTGGTACTCGTTAAACCCAATGTTATTTAAATAGATATAAACAAAAAGTGACTAAACATTGAAATAAAATGGCAGTCCGAGAGGCTAGCATCCCAACACAAATCACGTCATTTTTCGGCTCGAGCTGGGACGCTAGCCTCTCGGACGCCAGCATCCCGGTCGCCAGCGTCCTAGTATAATCCTAGCCTTAGTTGCCATTAGCTGTATGGGCTATTAATTAACAGCTGTGTCTAAGGAATATGTCGGCCTTAGTCACTAACAAGACTACAAGATCTGATACAATACTCATTCTACACTCATCCCTCACTCATATTTGGGTTAAAATACGCACATAGTGGCGTTCTCATCTTAAATGATTGATTGATTGATAATTGATAATTAAAAAGTATCCAATTCTCTCGCAAAACTTTAATTTTTATCAATTTATCAAAAATTACGGCAAAGATAACCTACTCAAATGAAACAAAATATTAAATATAAAATCCACAATTTAACGACTTTTCCCCCTATAAAGATTTCAAATCTCACAATCTTCATGTAGGTTTTTTTACCTTTTTTTACATACATTTTCATAATTTACAGTTTTGTTTATCTTTAGGAAATAGAGAGCTTGTGTCTATTATGGGCTAAAATAGATTTTACTTCACAACTTGAATCTGAATGTATACTTAAGACGAATAAATTAATTTTTAAGTACATATAGCTAACACAAATAAAGGTAAAAACTAACTCCCATAAACACACTTGCAAAGGGGACCGGTTTTCCCAAGATACCAGTCACCATTTTGGACATTTTAGGGCCTCTTCTAGGGTTAATTTTGATGCAGTTAACCAAGTTAAACATACAAGTGCAGGCTGTCCAGAAAGTAACAGTCATTTCAGTCTTTTGAGCACCATTTTTACTCTTAATTCTTTGACTCTAGTGGACCTTAAAATTAACACAACTAACCCTCCCCATTAGTGTGAAAAGGGGTTTTGTAGAAAACACATTGCAAACTAGAAGCTGTCAGGAATAATTTACGCTAAGGAATACTGTGCTAAGATTCAGTGTAGTAGTTCACTAATTTTTCTTTTATTGAACCAATGTTTACAATTAAACATCATGGAGGCAGAATGTGTGACTGATGATTTAATAACTGACAATGTCAAATGCACCTCTTTGTCTGCCTAAGGAGAAATAAAAATCTTGAATCCCGAAAGTCATTGATGTTATGACAGAAACGACAGTCGAGAACTTATTGTATTTTGTGGTGACTACCCATTCACCATGATGTTATGAAATAGAGGTCAGAAGGTGGCCAATGCTCAGGGAGAATCAAAAAGCTTTCCCCGTGGCATGACAAATGCTACTTTTTGGACAGCCCTAGTGTCAGTTATACTTACTAAAGCCTTGACAGAAACTCCAGTGTTGATGCTGCGATGTTGTGGCGAATCCGTGAGTCGGCGAAGATCTCCTAGAGATCTGGCTTTCTAAACCAACCAAACAGCAAACAGCATGCGATTAAACTTACCCACCTTTCCAATGCTACACCTTCTGTTACACCATTGACTGTGATAGGGTGAAATAAACTTGTCATCTCTGAGTACCATAGGGCTGCACCATTGTAAAAAAACAAATTTACACTTATCTAGATTTCACAAGATTTTTATCGGTTTAAATTTACAATTCATTTGAGCATCCAAATGATTTTTCTGCTGTTGAATACAGTTTCCCAGCTTAGGCAAAATTACTATCAAATTATCCATAGCTTTATCATATTTGCTTGTTCTAGAGTAGTGTGGTCAATGGTATAGGTCGCCTCCTTGTAATAAATTCACACTTGTTCAATGCCACATGGAGAATCTATATCACATTCAATCAATGAAACCTATTCACCAAGGTCTATTTCACGCAATCACAGTCAATGGTATGAAAGTTTGAAAACATTTAGGCTTTTCATTTATTTTAATGACTAGAAAAAATATTGTAATCTCTAAAGATGAATTTTAAAAAAAATGAGAAATTTATTGCTCAACAATTATAACATTGAGCAACAATAGTTTTAGATTTTACTGTGCTTCTAGAGATAGGACACAATAATGTGGATATCTAATAATATGGAGAGTAGATAAGATAAAAGTACTATATGCCACTCCAAGGCTCAGCTATTCCTTTCAAAACTGGTTGTATCCAATCCAGTCTACCAATGAAAGAATGTCAAAGCGAGTACCATTTAGGACTCTGGATTCCCATGATGGGTTGACTTAAGAATGCTCAGAGAATTAGGGAATTTTTTTACTTTTGGCATTTTAAAACGTTCTAATTTCTAAATCATATCAAAAGGAATCAATTTTGTATCGTTTCGACCTTCTGTGAGTTACTTTCCATAACTTTGTGGTTATCAAAATAAGTGAATAAAGTTAAATAAACATAACTTAACAGTGATCGTTAAATTAAAAGTAATACAGTAATATTTTTTACACATAACTAACTAAAATAAATGGGACGAGGCTTTTCAGATAACTTATTCACTTGATCAATTTTATATATAAAGGCTATTTCAGTTCAAAAGTTTGTTTTATGTTATTTTAATTGCTGTCATCCACAGCCACACAAAAATTTCTTAAAATAATCATAAAATATTGTTTTAATTTCACCTTTATCTCAGTTTTGTTGTCCGCTACATTATATTTTGTTAGTCAAGCTGGGCAGAAGATTGACATTGTCAAGCTAATTTTCCAATTTGGATATTTTTTTATGGTTAAATAAATCCAGGATTCAATTCACCAGCAGTAAAAAGGGGTTTTACTGTCCAAAAGAGTTACAATCTTTTATAGAAAAATAACCACCCATTTCAAATAAATCACAAGTGAACCTAGTAATAGTCCAAAAGAGAACCCACCCTATTATTTAGGTTAATTTCCATTAATCTAGCCCCTGAAGCTTGTAGCGTTTTAGCCATTCTAGCGTTAACTCGTGCTTGCTGAAGCGAACCTAACCCGTACTCACCAGCTGATTGGTGTAGCCGTTGGTGCGAGGGGAGGGGGTGAGCGCTCGCGACGGTGACAGAGTTGCGACTGTGACAGGCTGCGACTCACATGCCTTCTGCAGGTCACAGAAACTGCGACGCTATATACATGCACATGCACACGCCTTGATCACACAGTCTAACATGTGGTAAATGAATCAATGTATCAATGCATTTTATAGAAATTTGTCTTGTTAGGACTTTTTTTAATTAATGTTATTCTGATAGCTTACCTGAGAAAATTGGAGTTCATTGTGTAAACCTATCTATTAGCCCTTGGACTCTAAATTTCTCAGGTAATTTAGCTGAACTCTATTAGTATTTTTTTTTTTAATCCTTATAATATGAATTATAAATGTACTGTTAGAACTGTTAGGAATGCATACACTACTTTGTTAAGGTTACCTCTTTTAATCACAATGACTTAAATATATTGAAGTTTTATGTTGAAAATGTTTATATGAATGAAAATATCACTGGTTGCACTATGAGTTAGAACTTGCGTAATTAGTTAAATTGTATGATTCCCAAGTCACAAAACAACAAAAAGCTACACACACAGCAAGCAAACGTTAAAAACACTTTTTAAATTAACTCTAAATGTAACATTTTGTTGACATTATGGAGCAGGAAAGTCAATGTATTCCACAATTTACCAAAAATAATAGAATAAAAGCCAATAAAATGTATAGTTTAGTTGTTAACCAACATTATTTTCCCCTATTATACAATTCAATCAACTTCCAATGAAATTCCTCCTTAAAAAATATTCTCTTACACACTCATTCACTCAAAAAGTATTATAACTTAAATATAGCTGTAGCTGTGGTTTTATATTTATATAAACAGCTGTTTTTCAAATCATGGTTCACAAAGACTTTCCGCTCCTAAACAGCTGATCAACAATGCTCACCAGTTCTTTGATGGGAACAGCAGCTGGTACAGGTTCCTCAGATGGGACTTTAAGCGAAACGGAACTACTCTTGGCCGCTTCCCTACAGTATAATTGTTTCTAAGCATGCAAACACAAAACAAAATCAACAACATAAACATGACATGCAAAACATAAAGTGGGCACACTTTAAATAAGTGGATGAAATAACAAGCTTAAGTGTAGGTAAAGCATTTGAATGCCTGATAAATATCAATTTGAAATTTAAATCAGTTTAGGTCAAATATACTATATACCTACAGTATAAGGTACATATACTTGTGGTTTGACCAAGGGCAACAAAATGTTTAGGTAAAAAATCCTGTACAGTAGTGTTCTATTTAAATACATATACAAGCCACGAGGGTACCTTAGAAATAAACTCATGTTTGTGTAAATTATACTGTGGGCGTTTATTGTACTTGAAACTCATAAGCCGATAATCCTAGTGACTTTTCATCAAGTGAAAGATGCTTTATTATTTCAGAGCCACCTTCATTATCGGAAATGGTTATCGATCTTGTCAAACATTGTTGAAAAAAACAATTCATCCATTACGTTTGACAACAACTCATCTTTTATCTCTGTTACTCTTGAGGAAATGTGAACAAGGTAATTCTATAGGTAGAACAATGTTGTTTTCATACAGTGTATTTTGGTTTTGTTTAGAAAAATTCAGATTCAAATAAGTTACATTTAGTACATATGTTTTAATTTTGATTGTGATATCTGAAAATTTTTGGTGTTTAGTAGCATTTTTAAATCCAATAATACAGTCTGAAGAGGGTAAATACCCTATTTAAAAATAAAATCCTTTAAATATATCTGGGGCATATTTAAACATTGCAATATTGGTACTTTCAGGGAAAAAGTGTGATTTTATTTTATCCTAATTATTGTTTGAAAGGTATTTCACCATGATGATAAAGAACAAAGGTATTTTCTTTACCCAAAGGCGAAGGACCTTGTACTCTATCAGACTTTTCACTATCAACCCAACCAACTAGTAGACTTAGATTATTTCAAGTAAAGATAAGAGAGAGGTGTGAGTTTAAAATCGGAAAAGAATAATCAAACCACAAAAATATTAACAGGTTTTTAGTTTCTTGTATTCTTTCACACAAAAATAAAGGAACTGGTTAAAACTTTAACCCAATGTATTAGTATTGCACAGTAACAGTACACAACAGATTTTTATCAGAAAAATGTTCTGCTTCAGGAATTAATTTTAACCCCTCAAAATAGAATATAAACATTGCTAGCTAAAAGTTATGCCTGACAGCTAATTATTACTTGACCACTCTTCTGAAAACTATTTCAAAATCTGAGGTATTATTTTGATTTACAAAAAACCTTAGTAAATTTCAAACTAATTGAAACAAACAAACAGCACAAAACTCTTCATCACAATCAATTCCCTGATTAATCAGTGTGTACTAGCATTTTTTTCACTAGCCACAAGTAAAATTAAAATGTGTAAAAGTCACATTCAAAAAGCACAGTGCACATATCAACCACAGTTTTAACATATCAAACATAACCACAATACACTGGAAACTCCCCACAAAAACACCAACCTTCCCATTCAAACTTTGATAAAAAGACCGCAGCAAGAACCACAAGAACGGCACGGCCACAATCATGGCCCCTACTATGGATTACCAGTTGTTGTTATCACCACGGGACTTAGTATGATAACAGGTGAGAGTTTATCACTGAAGTGAGAGAGAGAGAGAGAGCTACTTACCAGGTCGCGCACGCAAATGTTGGATAGTTCGTCATCGTCCACTGGACCACTACTGATGAGCACTTCCGGATTTTCCTGACTATCCGTACTCAAGGCGTCAAATCCGTTCTCGTGGTGTCCGTTGGTGATCTAGTCAAATTCTAGGGTTAATTCACACTTCACAAGTTAGTTCACAATTTACCTTGTTGAAGTCTACTTTAGTCGTCCTTGGTTGTGGATTGGGTTTTGGTATATTTGCATTTTATCGGGATCAATTTAATTGGGATTCAGAATTATGAAAATTGTAAAATAATATATTGCGTATTTGAATCAATTATTGGAGATTTTGCTGGAGACAAGCAAAATACTTAATTCTTTGTGCATAGTGGTTGTTTTACACTTTCAACATTTGAATATATTTTATCAATCGACTCTTGGTCATTTAAGAATCACAAAATTAAATACATAAGAATAGTTATTTTTTTTTATAATTTAGATTATTCAAATAATGCACTTCAGCTTTTTTCTCCAAATTGGATCCAACTAACGCAAAAGAATAAGAAAGGGGTTATTTAAATTACGGTTAGTTCAAATTTCAAAATCATAAGACAATTCACACAGAAAATCATTGTAACTTGGTCAAAAAACTCAACATTTAAACATTTTAAAATAAAAAAACATATATTTCAAACACAACTACTCACGACTGAAATGTGGTTTTCTTTTTCTTCGGATTTTTTGGTCTTTTTTGTTTTCTTAGTTTTGGCTGTCACGTCTCCGTTCTCCGTGCTCTTCTTCTTCTTCACAGTCTTTGTGGTGGTTGTTGTGGAAATCGACTCGGAGACTGTGTTCTAAAACATGATTTATACAATGTGAATATAAGGATTTCATCACCTTAGCCAATTAAAAGTCTAATACCCCTATTATTTCCAATTAAAAACTTCGAAGTACTTTGATTGTTACTTAAATACCAACTATTTGACTTAAATATTTTATCAATTCTTAAACTCGATTTTATTAGACATACCGGTACTGATCTTACAAAACTAGGTTACGGGGTTTTCACGTATATTTACCTAGGCTACTTGTCAAATCTTTATGTTTATCTAGCAATATTATCAACCCTAAAATCAAATGTTTATGATAATCTTTAAAAAGTAGGTTGCTTCGCCATACAATACATTCATACAAAATTACTGCAAGGACCACAATATTTTTACAAAGCGGATAAGAATCGTTTTTGAACCAAGTCAAGTATGATTAACATCTAAAAGGATATAAGTTGAGTATACATCCCAAGCAAAAATAGCAATAAAACTTTAAAAAAAACTAGTGTACATGTTGCTCGAAATCGAGCAATTGCAAATAAGTACAGGAGTTATTTATAAACAAATAACTTGTTTAAAAACTAAAACAGTCATAATTTCCATTGATTTTAAAAGAGACAACTAAAAGATTAATAACTAATGGGAATACTCACAATTTACATAACAGTCCTATTCCAGTTTAAAGGGTTAATTTTAAACAATCAAACTGTCCATGGACGGGAAAAGGTAAGCTTACAATTTAAGTCAACGTAAAAAGGCTGTCAGCTTTTATAAAGTACCGTACCTAAGTTTTTTAGCCAATTTGTAGACAATAAGGTGTAGGCTACGTTAAACTCTACATGACAGAGTTAGGTAAACACTGGCAGAACTCTGAAATGGTGTTATTTATCATAGGCTTACTCATATGCCAAATCCTTAAAATAAAAATTCTATAATTAATAACTTATATCATTAAACACAAACTAACATCTTTTTTAAAATTTGTAATACAACATATAGATAATTTACACATTGACTGTTTACAATTAACATATCCTCTTTTACTCACTATTAATTTTTGCAACGAGAAAAATCTGTTTCATAATCATTGACATGGATTTATAATAAAAATAATCTATCATAAAGTTTAAGATTAAATAAACCTGCCACATAGTTGTTTTATTTTTTTGGATCAGCTGGCTGAAATTGTTAAAAAGGCATTTGACAGTTCTGGTTGTTTACATTTAAATGTCAAAGCAAATGTAAACATTGTGAATTTTCTCATGCTTCCATGGAGACCAATTATTATTAATATTGAATTTCTGACAACAGCTGGAGTTTCAAAACAATGTTTGTTTCACATGTTAATCTTATGGAGAAATACGAAACTTTAAAGGGCCCCAGGGCCTCACTCTCTAATTATTTTCCTAAAAAGAAAGTTTCCTGCACAAATTCACGATACGCTCTTTCCAATGACACCAAAAACATGGCAATCGGTTCAGTAGTTTCGGAGAAGTAATTGTCACAAAAATCCTGCTTGCGTATTAAATAAGTATAGATTCTTTAACTACCTACCTAGCCCATAGGGCAGTTTTAAAAGCTGGTGGAGCCAAATATTTGACTAAAATACCAGGGTGATTAAAAAAAAAAAAATGTATATAAAGTTACATTAAAATACTAACACATACTAAATGAATTTAGGAGAAACTATAAAGAAAAGGATTTAAATTTCTGGTTTATACCACAGTATGCCTGTTGTATGTATGTAGTTGTGTGTTTGTTTATTTTTTGTTTAAATCAACATTTGTTACAATTTCTAATCAACACAAAGTAAATGGATTTCAGACCAGTGTAAAATAGAGTAAATAGTGTAAAACACTCGAGGAAATCAAAAGTCCTTCAACTGGGCATTGAAAAAGATTGTGATCTAGTTTTTGGTTGACTAAGGTTATCAATACTTTATTTTGTTTTTTTGTATTTTTAGTACTTAAATATTTTAAATTTACATATTATTTATTTTAAATGTGTGAGGACAATATTTTTACCAGCGCCTGGTGAGTGTTTGACGCAATAACATCACACGGATGCAACTGATGCTTGCTGCATACAAATACAGGCGCTGCCGGTCTGGGAACATTATTGAGGAAATGTTTGACGCCGTCAATCTTCACTTTACATCTGTTTTACGACTCATAAATACTTTACAGTTTGTTTATGACGGTCTTGGAACGAGGCGAGAATGAGTTTCATAAATAACTTCTGTGATTTGTTGATGAATTAAAGTTGTATATTAAGACTTTGAGCAAATTAGGAGAGTTTCCATGTCTATGTATAGTTTGTAAATTATCTGTGCAAGTTTTGCAAATTAATTTAGAAACGTAAATTCTGGTGTATTCTTGATGTGTAGTGGCGCCTGGAACAGTTCGGTATGCAATATGTGTACGGCAACGTTGTGCGGGTGAAGCGTTTATAATTTGCAGGCGCTAAACGTCTTGACAAATATAGTTTACTGACGTGAGATTTTGGCAGAGGAAATCAATTTATTTAACCGCACTTCAATTTAGAATTAAATCATAATGTGAAATGTAGTGTGTGGTGTAAAATGATGCCTATGTTTTACAAACAGGAGCCATTCAATTTATCAAACGTTAACAATTAACACTGATAAAATGTTGTAGTCTTTAACAGCTGTTTCAAATTTTGTAAACCAAAAAAACTTATGTAACACTTTAAATATGTAATAGCATGTAATAGTAACCAACTCTAAAATATAATACTCTTATGGCTAGGAAACTTAGGACTAACAATATTATTCAATTAGTTAAAACTGTCAGAAAAAAGCACATCTAGTTAAAACGCACTAACAAGTCTAAAAAGCAACTCTGTACATTAATATTAGGAAAAACTGTATAATTTTCCTGTTCTAATCTATTTCTATGGTGTTGGTGTGAATTTGTGCAGTGATTCTGTATGTATCGAATTTACTTTTATTTTAATTATATTTCTTGGTTATTTTTTTCTAATAATTCAAGAGTTAAATTATAGCTTCCAATAACTTAAATGAGTATTTAAAGTTCCTTTACATTTGATTAAGTTATGACATGAAAATGGAATATAACGTTTATTTTTTCTATAAAGAAGTCAGAACAAAATTATTCATTAATTGTGTAAAGTATGACCTAATTTATTGTTTAATCGAATTTATTTGGAATATTACTTTTTTTGTTTTGTTAATTATTATTTGATTTTGTATGCATGAGTAAAAATACAAATAAAACGTTTTAAAGATATGATGGGATTTACAACAGAAAAAATTTCTATGGGTGGTACAAATTGTATTAATATATGAACACCTACACGGGGAGTAAAAAATCACGTGGTCCTAACTTCGCCTTTTGAACTATGATTTTTATTCATGTAACCTAGAATTTTCTATCGTGAATCTAAAATATGTTTTTGGTAATTTTGATGACACAGTAAATGCAACTTTGTAACCGATACGATACTTAACTACATTGTATAGTGATTGTTAGTCACTCACATTGAACTCCTCTACAGCTTCGCAGCTGAGCACCTCCTTCACAGCATCCTCTACTGTGGTCCATTCTTCACCTATGTTAGCAACGCGCATGCTGTTATTCACACAGTCTACACTATCACAATCACTCGGGATTGACGAGGGAACTTCAACGGGAGACGGGGAAATTTCGACTTTAGACTGGGTTATCTCCACGGGAGACGGGGTAATTTCCACGGAGGATGGGGTGATCTCCACGGGTGACGGGGTAATTTCCACGGGAGATGGGGTAATTTCCACGGGTGACGGGGTAATCTCCACGGGTGACGAGGTAATTTCAACGGGGGAAGTCGGGGAAACGGGAGAAGTCGGTGAAGTGGGCGTCTCGGTTTCGGAAGGTTTCGGTGAATCGACGTTTAGAGTAAATTCGGGGAATTGCCTAGGTTCGGGAACTATTTTCTCAGATCCATCGTGAGTTTCTGACAAAACCTCAGAGGAAAAATCGAGGAGTTGTTCCTCATCGACTTGCGAAAGTGTAACCTGCGTTTCAAATTCGGTTTCGGTAACAGCAACCGAATCAGACCCTAGTGTTTCGATTTCCTCAATGACAAACTCTTGAAACTCCTGAGGCGATGCGATACCCGATGAATTCACAGGAGAGTCGTCCGGGGGATCTACAACAACCAACACGTCTTCTACGACTTCCTCCTGGAGGAACGGATTCGACTCTGTTAGAGGACTTTCATGATCTGAAGTGATGGTTTGTGTGAACAAGGGGATCGGTTCAAGATCACTTGCGTCTTCTGTGATAGGAGATTCGTCATCGGGTACGAACGGATTGTTTTCAGTCTGTGGCGACTCGACATCGGGAACTACAACATAATTATTATCTATCGGTGACACAACCTCGGGAACAAAAGGATTACACTCTATCTGAGGAGAAGAGTCGACCGGGGTCCGAGGGAATAACGGCGATGTAGGTTCTGACGGGGATAAGTCTATTGTGTCGGCGAACACGTTGAGTGTAGCCATAGTGTGTACCCGCTCAGCCTGTATTAGACCATCGCTAGGGTCTGGGTCTAGAAGGAGTTTGACAGGTGTGACTCTAGTTGTGGTAAGCACCGGAACCTCCTCGACGTCCGCATCCTCCTGTTCTTCCGTGCGGGAACTGATCCTGAGCGCCAGTTCAGAGTCTATAAGCTCCTGGAGACTTGTGTCCGACACGGGGAGGTTAAAGGTCAAGTCAGTAGGGGACAGCTCACCATCGAACACTTTGTCGCTACTTACGACTTGAATGTTTTCTGCCATCCCGTCCATGGTGCGCCGCCTGCAAGAAAAACACAGAGTTAGAATACGTGAAACATTGGAGAGAATCGAAAAAAGTGTATTGCATAGATAAACTATAACATTAAAATTTCTAGGGGGATTAGCGAGGGTATGGTGGAGTTGTCGAAGTTGCTATATACTGTAGTGGCAATTTACATGTTTACAGGGTTGGAACGAGAGTGTGAGTCGTCGTCAGACAATGGAGTCTGCAGAGCGCAACGACAGTTCCTGTCTCAACAACTGTAGCACAGCCTACTTGCTGCAAAACTACAGTGTCTTCTTTTGCAGGGTCACATCTTCAATATACGGGATAGGGGGAAATTTTGATAGTTAAGTTCGCTCCAACACCTAGTCCATCTGGGGACAGTTTCGTTATGATCAATACTTTACTACTCCAAGAGGGAAAATTGGATATGAGTTTATAGGTGGTCTATTGGTGGAGCGCAAGACTTCGGTACTCGAGGCCCCGGGTTCAAATCCCTCCAATCTCGAATATATTATCTAAGCTAATGCCGCAACCCTCTAGGCTTTAGTTGAAGTAATGTGTAAAAAGGGCGTCAGCCTGCGTCCTTAGGTGTAAAGGTAGGACAAAAAAACTACGAGTCAACCGCATTATAGATATTAAACCATTAACGACGCTACCTTGAACAACAATAACACAGTAGGTGGCACAAACATGCGCAGCAGATGATATTGTTCTCGATATAATAGGCTACCACCCAATCTTCCAATGATAAAACCTCAGCAAACTATTAACCAACTGAAGTAATTTTACTTTTATGCTATTATATCATTAGTAACACGATTAACCCAAGTAAATCACTTAAATTGGCAGCTTGTTATGTGTGGTTAATGTGTACGTTGAGCGCTTGTGTTGAAAATTTTGCTTTGCATTTTGGGATGATTTTGTATGATAACCTTTCATGTTTGGTCGTCAAACCAGTGGGCGAGCTTTTATTTATAAATTTTTTTATGTTTAAATTTGGCTAACCTATTTTTGAAATAAGTTAAAAAACAATATTCAAAAAGCAAATAAAACACCCCTACATAGAGTCATATGACGGAACCAACATAAAATTTGACTTAAGCCCATCCACTATCCAGATAACAATTCCATGAGTATGTTTAATATATGGTAAAAAATACTATAACATTTCCTTTCAAGATTCTAAATCCTGCAATTGCACTTAATTCTCCATATGCGTATGCGTACTTAATTCTCCATAACGAACATATGATCAATAATCTTTCACCAGATTCCAAAGCTATTTACTCACAAACTTTCTATTGGAAACCTTTATCTCAAAACTAAAAATGTGTAAAGAAACGTCAGAATCTCCAGAAACCAAACAATCCGCAAAGGAAAACACCAAAATTAACGAATCTTCGTCGAGTTCAAGAACAGCGACAACTACCACAGGCAAAGACGAGTTTGGAAGACCTCTGTGCACAGTTGGTGAAAAAAAAGAAAGAGAAACAAAATGTCACGAATCGCACGGACAATTCAAGCAGAAGGGTGGAAATAAAACAGAGAAACATTCAAACACAACTATAAAATGTGCTGGTACAAACAAAGGTGTATCAGCTTACAGCAAGATTGGAGAATATTGTCAACAATTGGTAAAACAGGCTGTAACAAATATCGAGACTCCACCAATGTCTTCGGGACAAACTAGCGTGGAGAAGAGAGATGGAGTAGGGCTGTTGACGAGGTCTAGACGTATCCAGCTTATTTCCAGGTAAGACTGTAAGAGGAAACTTTAAGGATGTAGTTTATATATATTTCTTCATTTATAACACTATCCTTTGGATACTGAAGTAGACATTCGATCCATACTGACCAGCTGTCGCCAATTGTGTATTGAACATTTTAGATTTGAACCCCTTACAGTCTCAAAGTTTGCTTCTGTAAAAGTTGTATTGTTTCCTTTTAGTTTTAGACGCTGGTGTAGTTTATATGACAGAAAAAGGCTGCCCTTTCAGTTTCACTTGGTCAGAAATCAGAAACTGACAGTAGAAGGCTAAACTCTATCGGATTTTTAATTCAACTCCAGTACTGTATATCTATCCGTATTCTTATAATTGGCAGCAGCCTCAACGTGGGAATGGATGTGTTGACTTTGTTTGAGTCAACACCTGATTAAGTGTTGACTTTGAACTTAAGTCAACATTAAAAACATCCAATTTTTGCTTTCAATCGTCAAATGCAATAACGTAGCCAACTGACTGGATTCGTAGTTAAGGAAATACTTCATTCAGTACAAATTTCATACTAGAAATATAAAATTATTTTCGTCTACGTATCGGTGTAGACTTTTTAACCTATTTTGCGACGGGATTGTTGAAACTTTAGTCTTCTCTATGGCGTTACGGGCAGAAACGGTTTTAGAACCAGAAAGCTTCGGGTTTTACGGCAAACATAACCACACGGTCAGTTGGTCGTAAAACGCTGTATGTTTACAGATACCTTGTGGCGTGACAAAGAACCATTGACGTGTCCGTGTCTTCCATTCCTACAATAGACCATCTCCTGTAGGGCCACCTGCTGCACTCGACACGCGACATTGAATTTGATTTCCAAGAACTCTTGGATTAAGTTGATAGGTCAAGTTGAAAATATGATTCCCAAAATGGCCAAGCAATTTTAAATTACAGTAGCACAACGATTTTTCATGTTCTTGCGGTTTTTTCTTGCATTGATTAAACGCAAAAAACTTAACTGATTTAGTTATTTACGCCATTTTCAATTCTACAACAATTTATCGGTCACAAGGTAATTTGTCGGTTATAATAATCAATTGTTGATTTGCCTGGACTTAAATTCGTTGTAATTTCAATTTCATGGACCTAAGTGCAGCAGTAGCAGAACCTAAATTTGGCATAACGATTTTTCGATGTTCTGTACACAGCGAATAAAACAAATACATAAATGTACATTGGAGCCCACATCAATAATTTAAAACATTTTCTATTTGGTTTGCGATTTACATAACCGTAGATAAAACATATGACATTCATTCCAGTGTTTTGTGATTTGTACTGATCAACATTTTATGAAAAACAAAACTAAAACTAGAAAACACGTGATTGTTTTATCACCTGTTTTGATTGAAATTTCGACGCAAACATAATTTGTTTACAAACATTAAAATCCAGCTCAAGACACCAGAACACAAAATTACACAAGTTAAATTTTCCTAAAACATTACAACGCGATAAATTATAATTTCCAAAAAACAAACACAATGGATGAGAGGTGCAAAGAATTGTCTGACAAAATGGGGAAATCATCATCGTTCTGTTCAGAGGGGAAAACTGACAAACATACAGAAAAGAAAACTAAGTCAGCCTGTCCAAGTTCATCCGGAATTGGTAGAGATGCATTTGGAAGAAAGCTATGCCCAGATAAAGTACAGGAGAAAAAAAATATAGAGTGTCACGAATCTCGTAAGAACTTTTTCGACAAAGATAAACCCAAGGAGAAATTAAATGAAATCAATTCCAAAGAGGTTAAAGAAACCAATTGCGAAGACGCGTCCAAGAAACGGAATTTATTTAAATGTAAAGCCACTTCAAAGAATAGCTGTTGTTCTTCATCTTTAAAACCTGCTACTGAATGTGACAAGAGAGATGTGCCAAATAACAAAAGCGGGTTTTGTGAGCACGAAGGAAAACACACCGTATTTAGCGTTAAACAAGTAACGCCTTTGGAAGACAATATTTTTAAGATGCCACAACCAAAATTGTTCGCGATGGAACCTTGCATACCCCAAGTGGAAGAGAGAACCATAGCAAGCAAAACTAGTTGTAACCTTCCGAAAAACTTCTGTCCACAATTGAACAAACCTCCCAAATCAGAATTCTTTTGTATTGACGCTAGGAACATGAAACTACACGACTGTATGAAACAATCGGTGAAAACCAATAAGGTGGTGAAGACGACCGCAGTTGAAGCTTCTACGTCATCTGGCATGAGTAGAGCTGGGTTTGTGGCGCCAAGGCATCGACAAATGTTTGGAAGGTGAGTTTATTCACTGGGGTAGTTAGTCAATTGAGGTTTTTCAAAAATATGCTTTTAGGGAATTTTTGAGAGTTTCACTCATTTCATTTGGACTTTTTTGTTGAATGAATGAAATTCTTCTTTATTGGGGCGAGCTTAGGACCTCTTAACCACTTACAGTTCTCTGTTGCTAGAACTACAGGGAATTCGGATGAGTGCAGACATCACGACGATAGGTTTTCTAAACCTGGGCAAAGGGAGAAATAGTCACGGAGCATTCGGATAGCTAAATTTATTCGTTAGAACTCCTGCAGACGAATTAGATTCGAATTAGCTTTAGGCAATGTATTTTCTCGTTGAGATCACTTCCTTACCCTACTGATTCCATTTCAGGAACCTTTAAGCGTATTCTCTCATTACTTTCCCTTGGACTATTTTTACACTAAATAAAAGATTCCTGGAGTTCTTTCAAGTTTGGTTTCGGTTGAGTGATCATTTGTTTACCTAATCGTTTATTTCCTAACCAAATAGCAGGGTAGAAATAATGTTTTTAACAGAATACATAGATTAGTGATTTTTGTGTCAACCGTGTCGCCATTTGGAGTTTGCTGGGAGAAGTTTTACCCAACAGAGGCATCCTCATTCCTCAGTGGCTTAAGAAGTCCACTCTTTATCATTGGAGCACAGTACGGTAGTTAATACTTATATTGACAGATATATTCACACTCAAAACGGACGTGAGGTTTTAAAACCATTTCCCTTCCAACCCAAAACTAAAATTACCTGACAGCTTGGTTATTGTTACCTTATATAGTCTTTTATGTGCTAGTTACACAAACTATTGTCCAGATGGGTGCCGACGGCTGGTGTGTATGCTGCTGTCGCCGTCGCTATGACGTGCTGGGTAACTGAATGGGGAGCGATAACAAGGCACTTACCCTTCTACAGACAACCTAAAGAGGAAGAAACCCCCCAAGATACTCCTACAACATCAGAATCCTGAGTTTTGGACTTACTTGATGCGAAGAAATTTTAAATTGCAACAAAAAGACGGTAATTTTCGAATATCATATATTTTGGAAATTTAAATACACCAATTTAGAATTGTATTGTGTTACTTTATGACTTTTGGGACTTTATCAAGATTTGGTGTTGTCTTTTTGATAGTTAAGTACAATAGTGCATGACCGATTTACTGATTAAGCTGATGCCAATTTTAATGAGCATAAAAAAAATCTGAAGTAAATGACATTTCATCACTAGGAATTTTGGACACGAGCTCAATATTAACGAACGATGCGGAACCAGGGTTAGACAATGAGTGAGGATTGGAAATACACTTCTGTTGTGTGATGAACTACATTTTCTTCATACAGCGCCATTATGTTCTAAATCACAAAGTGTTAACTTCATATACTGTTAACCTTTATAAATTAAGCCTAATTGATGTTTACGTCTTTTTGCCGTTGAATACGAACATTTGTTACCGTTAATTAAAAGTACGACATATTACTGCGCCGAAACGGTAGTAAATTCAAATTATTCAAATTCATCAAATATGCCTCCTTTAGATAAAGGAGAAATTTCCAATGATAATTTAACGAAACAAATAATTTGATGTGACAATGAACACAAACACAGTTTTAAAAGGTTTGTATAACCTTTTATCATAGGTATAGAACTATTTTTTTCATTAAAATTTGTGGACGACTTTTAGGCTAAAATGAAAAAAATTGTGCTGATGTCCTCCATTTCAACTGATTCTTTTTCGCTACATGGGCAACAAGATTTCCCGTTATGCAAAGAATATGTTTGAAACGATCATTTTTGCTCCAGCATGACGAGAATAATATTTCCTCCGAAACACAATGATGTGTTTGTTTTCGCCATTTTGTCTAAACTCCCGCTATCGCCATTCGCCATGCGAATCGCAGCAACTGACGCAACCTCTGTATTTTAAGAACTGTTTATACAACGTTATTTCGGAGCTGACCGCGAGTGAGTCACCGGAAACGACATTTCTGCATGGTTATAGGTGAGCGAGAGGAAGGTGACAAACGAGATTTGTTAGTGACGTCATCGGAGAAAAACTCAACGTCTACGCCACAGTGTGTATAAGTCATCGTTTGTCGTGTAGCCTTAAGTTGTGATTAATGTTAGGTGTTAAAGTAAAACAAATTAAGTATAGACAAAATATAAAAAACTTTGATTGCTTGTAGCGGTTTAACACAATTGGCAAGGTAAACAAAATCAAAACAACGATAAATTTTTATCAGTGTGAAAAACACCCCCACCGTAGCCACAATTTCAACACTTTTCAAAACGCCTTTCAACAATTTTACTATTTCATCGCTATATTTTCCAGAACAAGTCTACGAATACATTCCGTTATTCGGACAGTATATAGTTTGTATGTTACACAGTTTAAGTTTTCATAAAAAAACGCAGTTCAGGGAAAATGCCAACACTAAAATGAGAACTTTTTTGAAACCTTTGATGAAATTCGAGATGGATAATGTTTTCCAGAAAAATAAAACATTCTGTGATCATGGAAGGTAAAAGCTAAAACACAGGTAACAAAGGTGAAATCAATCCGAGAGTGGTTGCTTGTATCAGATGTACGTCACGTTCCTATCACACAAACGTCGCCTTTCTCGGTACTGCTGACTGCACCGACCTGGAGTACAAGAATTGCACGTCCAACATACTCTCAAAACAGCTGATCTACTTACTGTACTGTCGCAACGCAACGCATTGTCTGTTGAACTTCTGTAAACTAAGCTAAACAATGAAACTACACAACATACGGACCTTTTACGTTACGTTATGTTTTGTCAAGTTGGAATATTATGATTTGGCTGCCTGTTAGGGGTGGGTTTAGGTTAGAGCTGAGACAAAATATAAAACTTAATTTGAGTTATACAAGTAATATATTAATTCATTCATAACGTACCAAAATAATAGGAAAATTGTATGACAGGTGTATAGGTTTACAGTAACTTTGTACACATTACATTTTTCGTCACAGCTCTCGTACTGGATAACCCGGGTTCAATGTCTAATAAGACATAATCATTCTGGGATTTAAAATCATCGAATCTTTCATTGGTCGTCAATTATATTAATTTACGAACGTTTGAGCAGTTATTAAGGATGTTTTTAAAGAAATATATTACGAAACATTCAAAACACTGCATTTTTTAAAGTGTATATTTTATTTTATTTTATTTTTTTTTTTTTTATTGAGGTTGGCGGCCCCTTTTAACCTTGCATTTGCCCGTCCACATAGACTACAGATCTGTGCGTGGAACGTATCCAGCAAAGCAAGGGGTGAGCCGGTACAGTACAAAGGTGAACCGTACTGATAAAAGTTAGTGGCAGTGACCAGGATCCGAACCCACGACACTTCTGCCTTGGGCCCGAAGTCCGCGACGCTACCGACTGAGCCACCGACTCACCAAACATATTGAGTGAACAGCACAGGTAACAACACCGTGCGCGAAAAATACTTTAGGAAAAGATTGTGTAGGCTACGTATGATATTTTAAGATAGTCTCACTAAACTCTGAGCAAAGTTCGGTCCCCCCTATGGATCGGTCAGGGCGATGTTGCAATGCCATATGCAGGTCGACTGTACAGTAGGTCTTCCTAATTCCATTACACAACAACTCCCTACTGTGTCAGCGGTGTTACTGTTTTATCCGTGGGTAAACAAATTTCGGACACACAATGATAATATTTAGTGTACTATTTCACAAAACAATCCGTCTTTGGTTAACAGATGCAATGTTTCCAAGTGGTTTTTACGACGGGAGAATAGTGTTTTGATTACAACGGGCAAGTCTGTTTTAAAAGTAAAGGTATTATAATTATTATATATTGTGAGTTTCATTTGAAAACCACACGAAATTAATAGCTACACACAATCTATATATGGATTAGCGGTCAGACATTGACATGTCTTACCTCTGCAGTAAACGAAAGTTAAACAGGTTACACAAATACAGACTGTAGGCCCAGTACTATACTTTTACGAAAGGTCCTTCATCTCATTTATCAAAACAATTTCACAAAGTACAACAATGATAACAGCTGATCCCATACATAACAATGTAACGTCTGTTCTTACACCACCCCCTGTACACATCTTATAGTATAGTCCACACTGTGAAGTAGCGAAATATAGAAGGCTGTGGCGATTTTGATCGCTATACATCGAACAAATGCGTCTGTCGTGTTTTGAACCATGTCAACTACAACAACAATCCCCTCTCGCACCTTGAAAGGTCATTGCCATGACAACGCTCCCCCCTTCTACATCTCTCCACATATCACAGCATGCCGTCCTGTATCAGACGTTATCTTGTACCGCGGCGGACGTGTTTGGAGGGAAAACGGACTAATTTGGAGGGAAATCCCACAGAGTTAAAATAAGTGTGGATTGATAAAAATTCACTTCAGTTTGATGTTCCTGAATTTCGGCAATGTTTAAGATATGAACCTATGAGTAGATATTTAAGGGTTTTGTTATGTTAAAAGAAGAGTGCCAATTTGATGAGAAAAGGCTTAAATGTGAGGTTTTGTAACTAACGCGTATACTAAAAATATAAATTGCCAGGGAGAAAAAATAATCTTACGTGTACGTATCAGTAGTGTTCATATAGGTTGATTTACTACAATCTGACATCCAACTCATTGAAAAGGTTTAGTTAAATTAGTCTGGAAGAGGTGTACGAATTTGAAGGAAAATAGTTTAACTAATTTTTTAAAGACATGATTGCAAATGCACAAATTTCCACCCTGGATATTATTACAAATCGAATACGTTTCTTCAGATATGTACCTATACATACATAACTGAAATGTTCAGTTTGGTTTAGATAGGCTGGGAAAATCGCACCGGTTTGGAGAGAAGAATTAAAACTAAACTTCGAGACTCGAGAGTAACTTGCAAGGTTTTATAAGATAGTGTGTACAGCAATTATCCACAAAGAATAAAACCACCACCATAGATACACGCTCCTCAGTTTAAATATTCCAAAATGTCCAAAATTTCTGTTGTCACATCATAAAAAAACTATTTAACTTCATCACCAAACCCTGTATTCTCAATTTCTCGTCTGCAGACTTTGTTTCAACCAGTTACATACGCGCTGTACTTTGCACTCTATATTCCTGCTTCGACGAGCCGCTGAGCACTCAGATAGTGAGTGACAACAGGACGTGTGAGAGGAGCCAGGAAGAAGGAAGTCCTGGTATCCTGGTGGTAACAGGACTGATTACTGATTGACTGATCAGCCTGAAGGAACAGGGTAATTAGAGGACAATGAGCCATCAACCCGGGGATTGCCCAACTCCGCGCAGTGGTCAAATTTAATCCGAGGAAAAGTTTTATGGCCCCCGAAGGGTTCAGCCCAACTCCGCGCGGTGGTCACTTTTAGGGCCGATTCCAACTCCGCGCGGTGGCCACTTGTAATATTAAGGTTAGGTACCCGTCAATTACAGACCCATCAAAAAGTGTTTGAGACAGGGTAAAAAGTGTGAAATGTTAATAGTTAAGTGTAAAATAAATGCATTTGACAATTTAATCAAAATATGTTCCTTTTACAGGAATTTACAACAGTTTACTTATTCGCCATAAGAATAACATGAGAATTTAAAAATAAGAATTCTTTGGCATTTTTTCTGTAACTATTATGGCGCTTTTACGCTTCGATATACTGAATTATTTGTTTTTAAGCTTTACAAAGTGGTTTCAAAAGAAATTTCAAACCGTTATACTTTCATAATATATACATAAGCCCCCGTTCACATGGTTCAATCGTGCTGGTTTGTGAACTCGTTCGAATAAACGGTTTACACGTTCACACCAAATTTAATCAAAATCAGATTATTTTGCTCGAGTTATCGTGCTAACAGACTTACATATATCCACATAAAATATATATACCGGTATATATATATATGAATTTGAACGGATGGTGTTTTCGGCCTTTGGGAAATAAAAACGAAAAATTTAATCAGCGAGTCCAGGTCTTACCATGAGACCTACGGTAATAGCCTATTCCCTATACAGGGTGATTGATAGTGTGCCAGCCGTTTTATTC